TTGCAACCTGTTGATGTGATTTTTTTAGGAGTTTCATTTTGCTTTCCATTTGTTAAAATTTATTTGACGAATTTGCCGATAAATTTTTCCTCACAAAATTGCCATACAAAGTTGCCGTATATAAATCTGCCTATAATTTGCCTCAATTTGAGTAAATTTGCTAAATTTGCCCAAAACATTTGCGCTTAAATTTGCCACACCCAATTATTTAACCCCGCATTTGTGCGCTACAAATTTGGCTTTGAAATTTGCATTTTCTTTGGTGTCTCTCGAACAAGGGGAACATATGAGAAAAAGAAAATTTGTCTGTATGTATTTATGCATTTTAATTTTGTATGCAATGGTACATAAAAAATAATCAGATATATTTGTTTAAAAATATTCTGTAGCCAAATTCTTTACTTATGTTACGGTGTTTTCTTCCTTTTTTATTATTTTGCCATTTTTTAATTTAAATAATTTTTCTCATTTCGTGCTTGTTACACTTATACTGGTGCAATGAAGATATGACATGAGGAAAAAATCGTGAACATGTATTTTATGCAATGTTTAATGGTATCATATTTTTTTGTCAGAACTGTAACATCATTTGTTTACATTATCGTACATTATATTGTACCATATGGTGTTATGCTCAATGGGAGATAAGCATAATGCAAAAAAAAAAAAGCAAGCATTATGTATAATATTTTTTTATTTAATTTAAAACCCCGTGTACATTTAATTTACGCTCCTTTTTGATTCTTTTTTTTTCTCTCAAATAAAAGTTATACATACAATACATATATATGCATATATATATTAAATATATATATTATGTATAGAAAAATTCAATGTAAATTTCTTTACGCGAATTATAAGAATTTATTTTCCTGTTGTTTTTATTCATTCCTTCATTCATTTTTTTTCCTTTTTTTTCTTATTAAAATTAATGAACATTTCCCAAGGCATTTTTTTTTATAAATTTACTGAAACGAATATCCTTTGTTTCTTTGCATAAGTTTCGTTTTATGTATTCTTGTTTTTATTTTCTATGAATGGTTAAGCATTTGGAAAAGTTATGGAGAAAATTCCCCAGATAATGTTACATTTATATGTATGTATGTTTAAAAAAATAGAGAAAGTGAATAGTGAGGTATCAAAAATATATTTCTCTTAGCCTATACATATATATGAATGCATATTAGAACACGTTGAACGCAGAATACGTACTTAAATGCGCAAGTAAATATTTTAATACGTCAGTGCATTTTTTAACACGCCATAAATATGTTAATACATATTTAACGTATTTAGATACATTGTTTATCACATATTTAGCACATTTATATACATTTTTATGATTTTCCCCACGCCCTGTTTTTTTACGTAATTTTATTTTTGTTCGTTCTGCTGTTTCACCCAAATCCAACCCTTCGACCTTTTGAGTGTAATTGCTTCTTTTATTTCAGCGTGTCGGCCGCGCAGCCCCCACATCGTTTTGGAAAAAAGCAATATTTATTTTTATATCGAAAGGTATACTGTAGCTACACAGAGGGGGGCGGTAGGCTAGTGCATCTTACTCGCGTGTATATATATGCATAAAACGTATGCGTGCCTATCACAAACCGCACCATCTCTGAGTGGTATATACATGTACCTATACGGCGTATAAGCAAGCGGAGCCTTTTGAACAGAACTATGTTTCAGTCCCATTTTTCAGTACCACTTTTCAGAACCACTTTTCAGAACCATTTTTCGAAACACATTTCAATCGTACATACACTCCGTATGCTATTGTGCGTATTCGAAAAACGAAGGTGTACATGTTTTTAATTAAATATTTCGCTCTAGGTTTAAGCAAGCGTGTATGTGTATATGCATATGTATAGTACATTTGTGCATACGCATGTCACTGCTTTTTTTGCGTGTGCGCCCACCACCTACTCCCACCTAGTGTGTACCTCTGCGCTATCATTACATTACTGCTACATTTGTAACAAATAGGAAAGATAATCTTTTCTTTTTTTACGTTTTCATGTGTACCTGTATCTATGCGTATTTATATATATATTATATATACCATGATATATGCCTATGTGTACGCATCCCGTTTGTACACCCTTCTCTGCATATTTCTGACGCACTTGTTTGCTCGAGAATTCGCCTTTTCATTTTCGCAGCAATTGTTCGTTTTTCTTTCCCATTTAAACGTTTATTTTAATTTTCATTGAAATCTTTACTCAATTTTTCATCATTTTTTTTTCCATCCTTGAGCTTTTAATTTAATTTTAACCCTACTTATGTGCCGCTCATGAAATGTGCTCTTTTTTTTTCCTTTTTTGACCATTGGTTTGAGTTTACGTGACGCGCGTGTATGTGTATATCTGCGCATACGCATAGATGTGTACATATATATATTACACTATATATACACTAGATATGCCGCATATATATACTCACACCGCACGTGTAAGCATTTTTTTATTTTTATGCATTTTCGACCCTGCTCACCCCCCTTTTTTTTTTAACACTCACTCAGTGAACTGGGCCAGAGCAACAAGCATATGCGCACGGACATATGCTAACGCCACTTCGTTTGGTGATGTACATATGTAAGAACACATGCATGAATATACATGCATGTGAGTAATGCATATTTGCGCGTATGTATTTATGAACATATACGCATATGTATACTTACATGTGCTTATGCGTATACACATATAAGAAAATAATGAGCAAATGTTTGTGTACCAATTTATATATATAGCGTTCAATCCTATATATAAAATATTCGTATTAGCGTTAGCATAGCGTTAGTGTGTTTATTGTGCATACTTTTATCCTTACACTTTCTCTTCTGCCTATAGTTTCGAAATATTGCTCCTTTTACCCCCCACGCCTTTTTTTTTTTTTTTTTTTTTTACTGAACCACATTCTGCCGCATTTGTAGTACATCTGATAATTATCGTGATAAAAAAAATTTTTTTTTTTACTGTTTTTATTCCATTCTTTCCTTTTTTTTATTTCATCATTTTGCTTTTTCGAAAGTTGTCTTTGTTTACCAAAATAGCCCACTTAGAGAATTCAGCGATATTGGCACACTGGCAATTAACGAATAGGCGATTAGCGCGTGAACAGTTAGCCAATGAGCAATTGGCAAAAGTAAAAGCAAAACCAGTTAGCAGTTATCAGTTAGCAAAATTAAAAAGCCCAACCGACTTTTGTCCCAATTGCGCATTTTGCTTTTTATGTGCCTTGTTTATGAGTTTATTTGAAGAACGACTAGGGTTAATTTTTTCTTTCTTTTATTTTACACATGTGTATATGTAACATCTACCTTATTTTGAAAATTCCTGTGATGCATATTTAATTTTTTTACCATTTCTTCTTTTTTCCACACTTTATTACCTTCGTAATTTACAAACTTCTCATTTTCCCCCTGTTTTTTCTCTTTTTTATGTGATGCAAAATATTGCTTCAGTTTATAAAGTTAAATGATTTTAGCACCCAGTTATTTTTTTTACACACGCGTTTTTTCCCAATTTACGCATTTTTTAAGTTCGAGCATACACGCGCATATACGCAGCCCATACCTAATATGTACCTCTCTTTAACATACTCCCCCACTTTACCCACCTTCTTGAACACATTTTTCCCACCCCTTACGAACATTCTCGTACGTATGCCAAGTGCCTGACCAGTTGACAAGCTGACCAGTTGGCCAGTTATTTTATCACCCCATTTTTTTTTACAGCGTTTCACATATATATGTCCCTGTATGAACGCACATTTACATAATCAATTGTGTATATGTGCAAGCACATGATATACTCGTTTGCTCGCGTATGTAAAACCGTACCTTTTTTTTTTTGCTCTCATTTTTTACGTTTCAATTGTAATTGTTTAAATATAATTGTAATATAAAAAAAATAAAAATAAAATAAAGATAAATTGAAATAAAATAAGCTCAAGAATACATTGCCCATTACGAAGAATATTACAAGAATAATGAAATTGTGCAACCCAAATTTTCCAAGAAACAGTACTTCTAATAAGCTACCTGAAGAAGAATTTGATACGCACCATTTTTACAGTTACACCTTTTTCATTCCGTATTTGCCCCATTTCAAATGCGTCATATAGTACACACTGTGTGATTGTGAAAAATTAAGTGCCCCAAAGAATTAGCTACACGTGAAATATAGATTGCGCGAAAAAATATATGTACATATTTGCTGCACGTACTAGGTATATGCACTTATTTTTATCTGCTCGGCCAAGGCAAGAAGGTGCTGTTCCCTATTTTATGTCTGAGAATCCTTTTGCGCCCATTCCTCCCCACCACTTTCTATTTGCTCAAAATTTACATAATGCGTAATATATGAACGTAACATTTGTCGCATGGAATAACAGAGCAAAAGCGCATCTTCCGCAGTTAGCATCTGTTAAGGGTTATCTTACCCATGCACAGAAGTGGGTTCAAATATATATATGTACGTACCGAGCTAGCTTTGTTTGGAACTTTTCTTCATCGCCAAAAAGGGGCACAATCCAAAGTACCACGACAAAGAAGAAGAAGAAGACACAGAGCAATAATCAGCCATTATTTGCCGCTTGAAGAAAGCACAAGGAAAATGCGAACAAGTGTATTATCCGTGTAAGCGAATGTACTTTTGACGGCACAGCAATATTCCGTTTTGTTACCCGAAAGGAATACGTGTGGAAGTTAAACCTTTTTTCTTCTTCTTCCCGCGGGGGTGATACCTTAATAGAAGAAGCTTCTTCGCTTTAGCGAGAGAGGGAAACACGGATAAGTAGACCTCTTCATTGAGCTTATTTTCCATCTTACAGAGCTTCACATTTGACAGCTGCAGAAGAGTCGCTTTTGACGAAGCGTCGAATTGCTTCCGTGTGAGCATATATCCTCCAGTTCGATTCATTACGCGAGTACCACTGAACGATCTACCAAAAACAGTCAATCGATATTTTTATCTCTCCATATATGTAAACCCAACATGATGAACAACAAAAACGTGAATAGTAGTAACCAAGGACAACAACAGTCCTCCTTGGTGGTGACCCAAATTCCAAGAAAGAAGCAATTTTACAAAACGAAGATGTGCCCCTGGTTCTTCTCTGGGAGGTGTGATAGAGGCGTAGACTGTTTATTTGCACATTCACAAGAAGAATTAAATCCAATTCCTGATTTATCCTTTACTAGTTTGTGTCCCTTGGCCAAAAAAGCAGGAGTATGCAAAAATGAAAAATGCAGTTATGCGCATTCGGTTTGTGAGTTGAGGCCGACTGGAGATTTATACAAGACGGCTCCCTGTACAAAATTTCTGAGAGGAAAATGTAACGCTGAATCGCATTGCAGGCACGCGCACTATATTGAGGAATTGCGTCCCCTGCCTGGAAATTTGTCCCCCTCTCAAAATGCCATCAACCTTATGCTCGCCGCCCCACTGGCCGGTTCGACTCAAAAGGGCAGCAAAAATAAGAACAGCGGAAATAGCGCAAATAGCGGAAACGGTGCAAACAGCAGCAGCAATAACACCCTTAACAATCACAATCACAACCACAGCAACCACAACAGCCACAGCAATCACAACAACCACAACCACACCAGCGGCAGTGGATACTTCACGGAGGAGAACAAGAACAGCGAAAACATGATGAAGCCGACGAATTCGTTAATCTGCAACTTCTCTACACAAAACGGAGTCAACAGTAACCGATTTAGCAAAAGTTTCGGGAAGAACGGCACGCCGGACAATAACATTAGCAGCAACGTGAATAATGGAGGTGGAAATTGCAACATGAGCAGCGGGATGATCAACTGCAACGTGAGCAGCAATCTGACCAATAACCTGAGCAGGAACGGGACGAGCAACATGAACAATAATTTGAACAGCAGCCACGTGAACAGCCATCTGAACAGCCATCTGAACAGCCATCTGAACAGCCACCCGAACAATCACATGAACGGAACCATCAATCGCGGAATGAGTCGTAATGTGAACAGCAGTGTGAATAATGACAACATGAACAATGCGATTAACAGTTGTATGAACAGCTGTATGAACAACTGCGCCATGGGCAGCGCAATGAGCAGTGGAATTAACAGCGCAGTGAAGAGCTGTATGAACAACTGCATGAATAGCTGCATGAATAACGGGATGAATAACGGGATGAATAACGGGATGAATAGCAGGATGAATAACGGGATGAATAGCGGGATGAATATCGGGATGAATAGCGGGATGAATAGCGGGATGAATAACGGGATGAATAACGGGATGAATAGCGGGATGAATAGCGGGATGAATAACGGGATGAATAACGGGATGAATAGCGGGATGAATAACGGGATGAATAGCGGGATGAATAGCGGGATGAATAACGGGATGAATAACGGAATGAATAGCGGGATGAATAACGGGATGAATAACGGAATGAATAGCGGGATGAATAACGAGATGAATAGCGAGATGAATAACGAGATGAAAAACACCATGAGTAGCACCGTGAACGTGAACAAAAACTACAGGAAGAGCTCGTCCTACCCGAACACGCTGTTCGCGCTGCTAAAAAACAAAGAAAACAGCGAGGAGTACAGTACGGCAATGGACACAAAGAACATAAAGCATTACATGATGAATAATAGCGACATAGAAAGCGCAAACGGGCTTATAAATCCCTTCAATTTAAGGAAGTTGCAGAATATGTGTAGCGGATCGAACGAACCGAACGGAGCCTTCAAGTCGATCAACGATTTGTTGAATCAAGACATAAACATGAATCGATCGATGAATGGGAGCATACACGGAGGGAGTCTTCCAACCAGCTTAGGTAGCAGCATGACAAACCTCTGTAGCGCCATGAATAGCAACTTGAGCAGCGGCATGGTAAACAACATTTCCGTCATTTCGAACCTATCGAATGGCAAGGCGAAAATGAGTAATATGAGCAACATGAGCAATATGACTAACATGAGTAACATGACAAACATGAGTAACATAAGCAACATGACGAACATGCCCAGCAGCATAAACGGCACCCAATACTACAATTTAAGTAAGACAACGAAGAGCGATATGTTGAGCACCTACCCCACATTCCAAAATACAGATTCCTCCTCCTTGAGAATATCAAGGAATTCTTCAAAGGAGTATTCACCAAATAATGAGGAGAAAAAATTAGTGGACACAATCGAGCACATGGAAATTACAGCGCAGGATAGTGCCCTGAAAGTTATCGAGGATGACAACGAGAAGTTGAATATTGCTGATATTAAGAATTTTCTAAAGTTGTTGCAAATGACAAACACGAGCAATTACAAGGAGGATAGCTTTTTGCTGAATGATGAGTTAAAGAAGAGTAGCCACCTCATGCATGAGCATCAACAACAGCCACAGCGGCAACAACAGCAACAGCATCAACCGAAGCAGTCTCATCAGTTGCACCAACCGAAGCCATCTCATCAGTCGCACCAACCGAAGCAATCACATCAGTCGCACCAACCGAAGCAATCGCAACACTCACAGCTACCTCAACACACGCAGCAGTATAACCCCGGGCCAGCGGTGAAGAACGGCAACAGCCACCCAAAGCAACAGCCCAAGAATATTGATGTGGTGCCTGGCTCCCATTTACCAGAACATTTCGTACACACCGGAAATATGCCCAACGCGCAAAATGATGAAAATAGCATGCACAACTACGACGTAAATGGGGACGTAAAAAATATTTACAAATTGAACAACAATTCACTGATTAGCTGTTCCAACTTTTGGAATTATCCGGAAGATGAGCTAAACACGACAGCTTCGAAAATTGTGCAAAACGTGGAAATCTTGGACTACTAAGAGGGTGGTGCAAAAAGGGAAAAAATGAGGAACAATGAAGAGGGAAGCATATTTTGTCGAGAATGTTGTTGAAGTCTGCCCGAAACGCGCGCGTGCTCATTTGTACGCACATATGTGGAGAATACACTAATGTGCACTGACACGTACACCTTTTGTAACGCGGGAAAGAGCAAATACGTGATGAGCGGATGACGCTAGCGAAAATATGTCCTACGAATCATATCTCAATGAATTGTCTCAGCTATGTACGCCAGAAAATACTTGTTCTGTTTGAAAGAGCACTATTAACTTATGATATTTAAAAGTGCATGGACAGTGTGACAATTTTTTCGCAGTCGTAAATTTCCAAAAGGGTCCGAGGAAGGCCGTCCAGCGCATATATGTATATATATACACATAAGCCTGCGCGAGCACAGGACGACGAAGCGGATGAAGAATCGAATGAAGAGAAAAATAAGTCACATGATGCTAGTTGTGCCCTCAATGTGCGCCTGCGCGCGCCTCGGTATATGAATCCAACATACGCGGTTCCCCCCGTCCCCGCAGCAGAGGTTTTCGACCGTTTTAGTTTCCCCGAACGAAGCAATCGAATAAAATGCCTCTTATTTTAAATGTGTCAATTTTTCCATTAGTAGAAGTTATCAATTTTTTTTTCTTTACATATGTTCCAGGACCCTCCGCGTGGATATCAGCGCAGGTTCCCAAGTGAGCTCCCCTGCTCACCCCTACACCTCCCCGGGTGTAAAACTTATATACCCCCAAGTATGTGATAAGGCATATGAAATATATCATACTTCACGTGTGTAATATGTGGACAATATCAAAGTATACCATTTTTTTTTACCATAATAAGCATATAATTAAGAATGTTATGCATGTATTATGTATATCTTTATATATCTGTATATATTCGTATATATTTGTATAACATAGGTAATTTTTTTTTTTTCTTTCACCTGGCTTTCTTCTTCCTCTGCCTATTTTTTTTCGCACCTTTTTTGCCATTTTTTTTGCGATTTTTTTTTACCACCTCGAACTTTTTTTTTTTATTTAGTACCAATCATTTGTCTCAACTTTCCTGAGTAATGTTTTATTTCCCTTTATTTTTAAATTTCCATTTTTGTTTTAAAATTTTTTTCACATCCCATTATATTTCGCCTCTTCTTGTTTTATTAAAATGTGTGCTATAAGCAGAACTTTTTTTTTCTCTATGAGACAGTTCGAAACTGAAAAAAATTAATATATATATTAAAATATATATAAATACTTAGAAATAGTGTGAAGTATATGCTCAACGTTGTGCGAGGTGAACGACCTCTTATGACAGAAATGTGGGGACACTCTGGCTTGCCACCCGGCAGGGACAAAGAGCAAAAGGGAAATAAGTTAAGTTAACCTGCGATAGCCATAACATCTCCGTTGTGCAAATGCAGGACGAAACGACCGACTCTGCAATGTTGTCCTCTCGTCGCAAACAAAATGGATGGGGGGAATGTGCTGTTCTCTGAAGATGAGGAAAACATGCCAACTTTTTTTTTTTCCAATTTGAAAATGAACCCCATTTTTACCTTACGCTTGGTAGTTCATTACCTGGAACGCTTTTGCCTCCACAAATGATAAAGAGAATTAAGTTTAGCCGGAGCAACTACAACTGCGGCAAAGGCGCTTCCACAGTTGCGTAAGTAACATAAGTTGGAATCCTTGGCAGTTACAACACACAGGTTGTCCCCTGTCGCAGGGCTAATTATTTTCTCACCATGCGAATATAATTTAGTAAATACCTTCTAAAAAAACGAACACGCAAAGGAGTTCCTTTCTCTGAGGGATAAAGACCACATATGCATGTACATAGGTACTGACCTAAAAACGAGCATCTGTTTTGGGGCACACACGCATTGCGCAAAAGGAGCATTGAATATAACTTCCCCTTTGCTAATGTACCAAGGGCGTACAGATTTACTTTATTTTTTCACAAAATTGTGACAAAAAAAAAAAAAAAAAAACATCTTCCCGCCTGAGCAATGATGCAGATAAGACTGACAATACTTATGGGACGAACAAACGGAAACCCTGGAAAAATTTATGTTTGGTAAATGTACGAACAGGGGGGGGAAAAAAAATCGTCATATGTGAGGGCACACGTGTGGGCACATCGGGCAGTATGTACTGATGGAGAAAAATGAAAGTAATTTTTTTTTTTTTATTAAATTAACCTAACATATAAAAAAGAAAAAAAAAATTGTTAATTGTTCATTCATGTATTCTTTTTTACTGCAAAATTGTACATTACGTAAAAGCAAATTTATCATTGCAGGAAAGAAAAAAATGTTACGCTGACATTTGCACTCATATAAGTTGTACTTAAAAAAAGTTACAGGATAGTCGCCCCTATGCTTTTGGCATAATCGGAAGGCATGGCCCGCGGATGCATGCCAACCAACACGTGTGCTATAGTTACATTAGCACCAGAGCTAAGATTGTACGCCCCATTAGCACAGCGTGCATACAAATAATACATTCGGATGTTAACGCACATTATTTTCAATAGTAAAAAATGAAAAATAAAAACAAAAAAGAGGAATAACTCCCATCCGGCCTTTTTAACGTATGTGTTTAATGAAGAACATTAAAAAAAAAAAAAAAGCAGTGTTGGCTTCATTTATTTAATTTTTTTAGCAACCCTTCTTCCGTCATTTTTATTCTAATTTTGACTCTCACTTTGAAGTCGCGCTTTTAGCTTGGCATTTTAGCGGCATATTGCTCTTCACATCTTATCTTCCATTTTAACTTCCCATTTTAACTTCTCCTCTTAACTTCCCATCTTAACTTCCCATCTTAACTTCCCATTTTTCTGCCATTTTGCCCCCACTTTTGTTGCTTCCCCCTCGGAACGAACTTCGCAGAGAGGAGCCAAAGTTGCTGCCGAGCGAGCGATCTGCAAAGATTTATACACCCACATAATACATGCACATACGTACGTATGTATACATATATAAAGGAACCGTATTAGTAGTTCAGCGTATGGTACAGCGTTCGTTCGCGTAAGATCATAAAGGTGATAGGGCTTCAGAGTGTTACTTCTTTTTTAGGTGTACCCAGACGCAGTTTTGTGCCTCTCCATTTTGAAGTTACTCAGATTTGGTTATTTTCTGTTCTTCTTTGCATAGAGGAAAGCGCACTGTTGTTTTGACAACTCAACCGCAGATTATAGCTTGGTAAATTAATCCTGCAGGTAAGTTTAACCCAACGTACACATCACGCATGGAGAGATTATCAATTTGGCCTTGTCCGCGTGCTGCACCAATTTTTCATTATCTCAAGTTTGAGATCGCGATGGAAACATATACTGCGTTAAATAAATGTGGAGCACCGTTGTTTGTTTTATTTTGCGCAAATAGTTATACCTAGCGGAGAGGAGCCCCTTTCTGTGTATGCGTCATTACGTAGGAGGTTTTGAAAGGGCACGCAGCGCGCAATTGGCACGCAGTCAGCACGCACGTGTCTATTGGACCCCGCGAGGATGACCATGCTGAACAGTGTGTGAACTTCATTCCGCTAGAATTCACATAGTGTAATGTCACCCTTTTTCGTTCTCCTTTTCTCCCCTTTTTAATTTCTCCCAGAAGGAGACTCTCCCCCCTCTCTCCGTGCCAAAGGGTTCCTGTATTGGAACGTTCGAATAGGCTCCCCCCTCCCCCCCATAAGAGAAAATGTTCACGACTACAGGAGAACTTGTGTACTCCGTGAAGGTGAGCGAGCCCACGAGGCAGGACGCAACGGGGGCGTACAGGAACCCCAAGTTTAAGGACAAACTGTTTCAGAACTTCGAAGAGAAGCCATTGAACAATACGTGGGAACTGTTCGACGGGGTGGCAAAGAAGTACAAGGATCGAGATTGTTTAGGCACTCGAGTGAAGGTGGATAACAAGTTGGGTCCTTACAAATGGAAGTCATTCACGGAAGTAAGGGAATTAATTCTAGCAGTAGGATCAGGTTTAGTGAATATGAACGCATGTCCAGTGATTAGATGTGATGACACAAAAGTAACGAGGGCAAAATTTCTAGGATTCTACATGCCAAACTGTGAAGAGTGGAACATCTGCGATTTGAGTTGCAGTGCATTTAACATTGTAACGGTGCCGTTATACGATTCATTAGGTATAGAATCAAGTAAATTTATTCTAGAGCAGACGTTAATGCAGACGATTCTTTGCAACAAAAAATGCGCCATGAATTTGTTCCAGTCGCTAGATACGTGTGAAAGGATTTATTTAAAAAAACTGATTCTGGTCGAGAAGGAAGCTGATGCAGACGTTAAAAAGGCCTGTGAAAAACACCAGATAGAAATTATTTTGTGGAAAGATCTCATCGCAGCTGGGAAGAAGAAGTTACAAGAACCGAGGCCAGGCAATTTAAAAGACATTGCATCCATATGTTACACCTCTGGAACGACGGGATACCCCAAAGGGGTTATAATGACAAACGGAAATTTCATAGCGCAGCTAGCTTCCAGTGTAATAGGCCCATCAAGATTGCCACTTTTGGATATAAACGAAAATGATATTCACATTTCGTACCTGCCGCTGGCCCATATATATGAAAGAATTTTGATGCTTGTCTTCTGTGCACAGGGGGTCAAAACTGGGTACTACTCAGGGAATGTCCAAACATTAGTGGAAGACATTCAGGAGTTGAAGCCAACTTTGTTTATTAGCGTGCCTAGATTGTACAACCGAATCCACGAGCGCATATTCAATTCATTAAAAAAAAAATCGTCATTAGTTCAATCCTTGTTCAATAAGGGGTTGGAGCATAAGATAAAGAAGCTAAACAGCACTGGTATCCCTTATCACTTTTTTTGGGATAAACTCGTTTTCAACAAGGCCAAGAAAATCCTTGGAGGAAACGTTCGAGGTATGCTGAACGGATCGGCACCCATAAGTCCTGATGTCGTAAAGAAATTGAAAACCGTTTTCTGTGCACCCATATTTGAAGGTTTCGGAATGACAGAGACGGTTGGTCCAGCATTCATTACGCACAGCACAGATGTGAACATAGGCCACATAGGGGGTCCTGTCCCCTGCGTTGAATATAGAGTTGTATCCGTCCCGGAAATGAACTACTTAGTTACGGACAACCCACCTAGAGGAGAACTACAATTGAGGGGACCATCTGTCACCCATTTGGGTTATTTCAAACTGGAAAAGGAAACGAACGAATTTATCGACAAGGATGGATGGATAAGCACAGGTGATATTGTGTCGTTTAGTGAAAATGCATCTATTACCGTTATTGATAGGAAGAAAAACATCTTCAAATTAGCGCAAGGTGAATACATAGCAGTGGAGAAAATCGAATCCATCTACAGGCAGTCTCTTTACATCAGCCAGATTTTCGTTTTTGGATACTCGTACGAATCTGTGCTTGTGTGCATTGTGTGCCCCTCCTTAGACACGATAGAGATATGGAAAAATGAGAAGAAAATTAATAAGACGGATGATGAGGTCATGCAGATGCCCGAGTATAAGAAGGACGTTATTGATGATCTAATCAAAATGGGGAAGAAAGATGGGTTGAAGGGGTACGAACAGATTAAGGACGTGTACTTCGCTACGGAACCCTTCACCATCGAAAACGATTTGCTCACACCGACTGGGAAGATTAAGAGGCACGCTGTGCACAAGAAGTACAAGGAGCAGATCGATAACATGTACAAGCAGCTGAAGAAGGCGGCTTAAGCGAAGGGGTTTTCATCGAGGGGGTTTCCAGCGAAAACGCTTTGAGTGACGAAGTTTTGATCGAATCCTTTTTGAGTGAATTCGTACCGTTTTCGATCGGCGACCCGCGTGCTGCTGTCATATGTAGCGTACATGTACAGAGTAGGAAGTGGCCTTCGTATGATTTGCTTTTTTAATTTTTTGGGGGCACGATGCTGTACATGTGCAAGGAAATGCGTTCACCCGGTGCTCTCTTAAAAGTGTGGCCCCCAAAGGGAATCTCCTGTGGATATAACGAACCAGATGTGGAGTCACAGAGCCCATCTCCAGGCAAAACTACAATTCGCTCCGCCACACGAGAGGGGCGCCAGCTCGCCCATACAACATATTGGCATACGAGTGGCGCCCCTGGGATTGTACTAGCTAGGCGCTTCCGGTGCTCTCAACGTAGGAATCACACGCACGTACGGACATAGGCACATAAGCATTTATATATGTATGTGTGACGGTACGCCGGGCCCCACTTACCTGCTTATTAAGTTAATTTTAAGCCGCGCATGCGTATATACATATATATGTACATATGCTCGCATGTGTGTGACCCGCCTGCGGACATGTAGAAGCATGCGTACAAATCTCTGCCCCCACCATTCTGAAGAGTTTTCCACTTGGCGCTTGTCACGGCAGAGGCATTCATACGCAAAGTTATCCTTTTTTTTTTCCCCTTCTTTTTACATTGTAACACTTTGAAAAAAACATTTTTTAATAATTTTTAAAGGTTTTATGCCATGTTTAAATTGTTTTTCAATAAGGAGAAGCCTAGGTGACGACCAAAGCTGAAAATATTAACGTACTGGCCGGTAAACCAGTGTGTTGGGGAGGGGAAAATACATACATAAATGTATATATGTGTATATGTATATATACATGCGCTACATGACAGTTGATGCTGCGTCAAACCCGAGTGATTCTCCAGCAATTGGAAGGGTTTCCATTGCAAAACTGCCAAAAGGCGAACGTTTATACCAAGCGAATGAAGCGAGTTACGCCTTACCATGGTGCTTTTTCCAAGCGCATTGTGAAACGCTCTTTTTTAAGGTGTTCCTCCTTCATGGCATGATACGATATCGTATGACGACACAACGAGTGTATTTTTTTTTTTTTTTTTAAACATTCCCGACGTGTACGCATATGGGAGCACTTGCCGAACAGAGGTACATACAGTGGTCACTGGTGGGCAGTTTATCTTTTTTGATCTGTTTTTGCAAATTGTATTTTGAATTTTTTTTCGCCCGCACTTGATGAACTTTTCACTCTCTGCTCCACCCTCAAGTGGAACTTTTCCTTTTTGAAGAAATGTGAAACGAAAAAAACTGGAAAGCGTCGCAAAGGAGGCAAATTTTCTGTGCAAAACATGCCTTGTACAAGTGACACGAAATATAAAACATGCACACAGATTTGCAATCCCGGGCGAATATTTTTGTTACTCCAGATTTGGAATAATCGCCATCTGAGTTTGAAGGAAAAGCACAGCAAACCTGTGGCTTCCTGTGAGATTGCCTTTTTCCCCCCCTTTTTTTTTTCCACCCTTTCTCAGGTTTCCATTTCAAGAGAGGGACGAATAGTTGAAACCCAATTTTGTGTGCAGTTTTGGCTACTTCTTGGAAGCGCGAGGAATTTTCTGTCATTGATCGGTGGTGACTGTTTCCCGCCCTCATTCGCATAGCCTATTTTTGTGACTCATTTTTGCAACCCATTTTTAAAACTCCTTTTATAAGACTTTTTTTTTGTCGCCAATTCCACTCAGTAGCCGTTTGGGCATTCATCCTCGTAGCTTACATCGTTAAACATGTGACGCCTTTAAAGTGAGGGGGTAGTTCCGGAAGAGTAGCGCAAGAAGCAGTTTTCACTTCGTAGGAAAGAAGTGAACTTATCCACCTGGGATGAGTGAAGAAAGAGGGAAAAAGGAAACACCAAAGGATGCGCCAAAGGAATAATCAATATTACCCAAATAAGCAGAATAACCAAATTAACCTTAGCGTGAAAACGAAGTAGTAAAACAGTGCTGTCACATGGAAGTAGAAAAGACCCAACCTGCTGTCACCACCACTTGCCGTTCACCACCTGAATGGACAAATCTCCAACCCCTTATAGCATGAAAAACTCTGAATCGGGCAGCACGGCGTCGTTAGAGAGCGGTACGGACGTGTATGAGAGAAACGGGTTTTTTGAAGGGAAGGATGGCATGTCCAGGTGTAGGAAACGGAAACGCAAGAAGAGGAGGGGACGTGTAAACGGGGCGGGCGCGTCGGACGAATGGGACGAAGAGAAGGACGCCAAAATGGAGAAACGAAACGAGCGACTACGCAAAAACGAAGATCTGTGCACCAGCGACAGCATTAGTAACTGTGAAAAGTCCAGCGGCCCTTCTTTATCAGATGGCAGCTGGTTTAAAAAGAAAAGTCACTCTCCTAGTGGAGATGACGAAATGAAGATAAGTCTGGCGCGCCTTGGGGATACCACCACAGATAGGAAAATGAAGAGGAAAAAGAAAGCCTCAAAATTGGGGAAAGGGAAGCAGAGCGACGCTGACGATTATGCGGAGAGCCACAAAGAGGAAGAGTTTTTTGCAGACCAGTCCCATAGCGAGAGTGTGTTGAAGGGGGAGCAGTGCGGAAAGGGAGTAGAACAGGCTCGCAGTGAGGAGGACAATGGTGACAACAACGGCTGCGATAGCGGTGCCGAGCGGAATGGCCACATCTCGGACGGGAGCACCCTCAAGGACGGCGACGCGAACGTGCTGCGCGACTGCGACCTGAGCGACTTCCACGGAAGCACCGGGAAAATAATAAAGTTGAGAATCCGGAATTTTTTGAACCATGAAAATTTGGAGATGTCATTCAACTCGAATAAAAATATAATCATTGGAAAAAACGGAAAAGGGAAAAGTGCCATCGCCCAAGCCGTTGCAGTGGGGCTAGGAAGCCAAGGAAAGCACGCAGGCAGAGATATCAATCTGTCTAATTATATCAAGGATTACGATAAGAATAAGAAAAATTTAGTTTGCTATATAGAAATCTTTTTGTCCAATTCGGGGAAGAATTCTTATAAGAGGGAATTATACGGAGATGTTATCGTAGTAAAGCGCGTTTTGTCCGCACACACGAGCAAATTCTTTCTCTATGGGCTGAAACAAAACAGGAAGGATGGCAGCTCCATGTATGTGGACACCGAAGAGGGGGAAACGACAGGAGGAGGGAATGTTGCCCCCTCTGGAAATCCCCATGAGTGGAGTCAACCAAACAAAACGGATTCGCAACTCCATGGCCATAGCTCAAACAGGAGTGTAAAAAGAAAGGCGTTCATAGATAGCTATCTGAACAGTATCAAACTAAATATAAGAAGTCCGTGTGTGTATTTGGATCAAGAAAAAGGAAAACAATTTTTCAGTAACATAACGGAAAAGGCATTGCACAAATTTTTTATGAATTCAGTGGGGCTAGATATAGTCGAATCGGAAATTGAGAAAGAGAATGAACTACTACAAAATTGCGGTCTTCAAATAAAGCAAAAGGAGACTCAATTATCTCCACAGGTGGAAGAAATGAAGCGAATGAAGGAACGAAATGAAATGTTAAAAGATGAATTTGAAAAGTTAAGAAACTTGGATAATAACTACAAAATGGTCGTCTTCTTTAATCTGCTAAAGAATGCCATCATTCTCTTCAATGAGTATTTAAAATCTGAGCATTTAAAAAACGAGAAGGTAATTCTTAGTATACAGAAAAAGATGCACGGACTTGTGGACCAAATTGAACTTGTCAAAATGGACGTGAAGAAGGTCATCGAAAGGGATACACAAGTCTACCTTTTTGTAAAAAAGAATCAAGATAAAGTGGAAAAATACACAGATATGATTTGTCAGCTGAATGAACTCAAACATGAGTACACCAATCGGAGGAACGAAATTGTCAATTATTTGAGTTCTTTTGAGAAAGCCAAGGAAAATAAAAACCTCCTGCAGGAACACCTACACCAGTACCAATCCGAAATGGACCAAATTAATGAAAAAATGAAAGAAGAAACGGAGCGAGAGACACATCTGCGTAACGAAATCAGCAAAAGGGAAAACCAAATCTACGAGATGGAGTATACCATAAATAAAGGCGAGAACGCGATTGAGGACATAAGCAAACAAATGCATGTTCTCAAAATGCACTTCAATAAAATGCAGAAAATAAAAAACACACAAATAAAGCAGAAAATTTACACTTACGGGTATGACATTTACTCGATTAGAAGTAATATCTTAAAAAATTACAAAATTGTGAATTCATCCGATGAGTTGTGCTCTGCTGTACTTTACCCACCCGAGTTGTTTCCCCACGGAAAGGACAGCGTGCTCATCCGAGACGAAATAGTGAAGCAAACTGACGCGAAAGAGGAAAACCCCGATTTTGTATTCAAGTATGAACCGATAGGACCAGCAGGCGAATACATACGACTAAAGGAACCTGTCGTCAATGAGAAGGTACTATCCATCATCGAGAAGCATCTAGGGGATCTGTTCTACTCCTGGCTGGTCAGCTGCTACGAAGACAAAAATAAACTGAGCAATATGGAAATAGAAAACAAAAACAAAATGAACATAATTGTAACGAACGCCTTTCAACACATAAACAGGAAGACGCTGCTCCAGAATATTCACTCCATTCTTAACAAAATGAATGGAAACAGTATTTACTCCTTTTTGAATGTTGACCTTCTTCCAACCTCGCTCCTCTTCTATCTTCATGACAATTTCAAAGTGGTCCAAACCTTGGTGTGTAACAATTCGGAAGAATTGCATGAGCTGCTACGAACAAACGATAGAAGAATTGTCAAGTCCATCTACGTTGTAGACGAGTTTGTTGTAGTGAAGGTGCTTCCCAATGGGGGACTGCATTACCAGCCTTCCAAAGAGGACTACTACAAGAAGCCCATGTTTCTAAACATGCACAATGACGAGAGATCCATGTATAAGGCATCTGAAGGGGGCGCAGCAGTAGACCACAAGCATGAGCACGGGACGGGTGTTGCTACAAATGGGGTAGTTGCCAAAGTTGGCGACTCCGATGGCGTCACGAAAACTGCGTCCAAGGAATCGCACCTTACTGGGGGAGATGTGCCAAATTCGGATTACAAAACGAATGAAGAACATCTGAACGAGTTAGAAAAAAGGAAGGAGGAAAAAAACGAAGAAATTGTCAAGACGTCCAAAAGGTTACTTTCTTGTAGAAACGTCCTGGAGAGCCTAAACGAGTCCTTAAAAAAATGCCAGTATTCTCAGGACGAACTCAAGTACCAGCACCGAAATATCGAGGAACTCATACAAAACCATGACGACATTTTTTCCGAACAAATGAACTTAGAAATTAAAGAAAAAAACAAAGACATCGATGAAATAAATGAAAATGTGTTCCAAATTGATCAGTATGTAGACACACTGGAAGGGAAGAAAAGCAACACCCTTGACAGTTGCCTAACCCACAAATGGTTAATATCAACACATGCTCATTACTTGAGTAGGAAAAAGGACAAAATCGCTGCCATGATTGAGGAATATAACAATCTGTTTGAAGTTTTAATGAAACTGGAGCGAGACAAACTAAGAAATGATGAAACCGCTTCGAGAAATAAGAGAAGCTTCTTAGCAGCGATAAACAAGCTACACAACATTTACTTTGAATACCTTGCAAATGAGTTTCCCCTCGAAGAGACACTTTTGGAGAGTCCTTTTCTGCTGCTAAGGGGAAGACCCGCTAATGTGCCAATAACGAACATTCTAATAGACCGCTCTGGGGAGGAAAGTCAAGTGGACGATCAACACCCTAAGGGGGTGGAACCCCTTGGGGAAGACAGCACCAGGCACCAAAAAAGGGAGGAGGAAACACTTGAAAGAAGAAAAAATGACGACACTGCTGAAGAGGGCACAGTACGCGTTACCTTCACTGTGGAACAGCCTAACAGCGGTGCAGGCAAGGGAGAGCTCATCTTCACCCGTATTCCCCTCTCGAATCTCAGCTCCTTTAACCAACTCTTCCTCCTCTCGAGGAAGGACGAGGGCGCGATGCATAACGAGGAAAGTAGTTGCAAACTGGCTGTCAACTCGTGTGATAAGAAAAGGGAAACGGAAATAAAGGCCCTTCGCGATTTGGGCCAATACGTAAAGGGGGTGCTGACCGGGGGTAGAACCAGTACTATTACGATCAGGAGTAGTGGGCCTCCAGGTGGGGGGAGCCATGAGAACTTGTTTAGCATGGTAGGCGACACTTGTGAGGACGACTCAGCGGGTGACGCCGCCAGTAACGAAATCAGTAAAACAGCCACTAACGCGGCGGGGAATCCTCCGGGCGATGTCGCCGAAGCTGATGATGTCGCCGAAGCTGATGATGTCGCCGTTGACCTGCTGGACGAAAACTACGCAGACGTGCTGTGGAAAAAAAGGTGCGAAAAGAAGAAGGAAATCACCGAGCTCCTTAAAATAAACGGCTTTAGCACAAGGGACAGCACAGACAACTCCATAAAAAACTATTTCCACAGTTTAATTGAACAATACGGAAATGAAGAAAAAAGTTACAACACACAAATGAAGCAAATTAACGACTTGAGAAATAACTATGACATGCATATGGCGAACATAAAGCTGCGAAGATCTAAGTTTTGTCATGTCTTAAAAAAAACAAAAGAGCAAATAACTGCGCACTTTAAAAATATGCTGAAAGGTATGAACAACTACAAAGGCAAAATAGAGTTTGACGATTTAAACCGAAATTTAAAAGTTATGGTTTCGATTAATCAAGATATGTCCAAAAATATTTATATGGAAATCAACTCCCTGTCCGGTGGGGAGCGCTCGACCATTCAGATGGCCCTCCTGGCATCTTTGTCCCTCACGGAAACGTCTTCCTTCCACATCTTCGACGAACTCGACGTGTACATGGACGAGCTCACTCGGGTGAAGAAGTAAGTCGGCGGGGCGCAAAAAAAGAAAAAAAAAAAAAATAAATAAATAAAATAAAATAAATAAATAAAGTGAAGAGAGCACTCCCCGGGGAGACTTACCAAAGAAGTGGAAAATTTATCACCACCGTTCACATACTCCACAGGAAGCGATGCGAAACTCATGAGTGTCTATAAAAGGGCCCTGCAGCATTTTTCCCTCCCATGAGACATACATTGCAACATTTGCAAAACGTGCACACATATGCTGTTTTATTTTCCTCCACAGCATGCAGCGCTTTTGTGAATTCATAGAACAGAACAACGACAAGCAGTACTTCTTCATCACTCCTCACATCGAAATAACGGAGTTGTTTCTAGGTAAGACGTACGCTGCGCAGTGTAGTAGTGTTTGTGGCTACGCGTAAGGGACAAAGGTGTTAGTAAAACTACTGCCCTCTTTCCAACACCTTGTTCCATTTTCCCGCGTTAACCCCATCCAAAAAGTTGCGCAAGCATAAGTGAAAATGCGTAAATCCTTTTTTTTTACCCCCTTCATAGGAGAGGCCAAGGAGAAGAAGGCCAAAATATTAAATTTGTCCTAAACATTTGAATTAAAAAAATATGTTTTTTTTTTTTTTTCCCCACATCCTTTTTTTATGTTTAAGTTGTTTTCTTTGATAAACCCAATTCTTAAATGGTGTCGTCGTACGTAAGCGTGTATGGACCCGAATGGTATGTCGCCCATTCTGTTGCTTTCTTTGTACTTCTTTCCTCCTTCCTTTTTTTTTTTTTCGTGTTTGTGTGTGGAAGTGCACAGTTTTACAAAGACGTTGTCAATAAACAACTGCTCATTTTTGCCCTTTCAAAAAAAAAAAGCAGAACTTTTTAAATGATCCTACAACTAAGCATGCATTTGATTTGCTCAATCGATAAGAAAATCGTCCCACTGATTTACTCCGTGGCCTTATCGCTGACGCGTTGCAACATACGGATATATTCGCCACCCAGGGGGACAAAACAACAACGGGTTGAACCACCTCTAAAGGCAACTATAAGTATCTCACTGTTAATAATTATAGTTTGATGAAAGGTTAAATGAGCAAGAGACGACAAACTGTTTAAAAAAAAAAAAAGAAATTAAACTGATATGTGAAAGAAGCTATGGGTATGTACACACCAGGGCTGGTACAGCGCACAAATTGATTTGCACATGAGAAATCACACATTAGGCAGGCGTTTGGCATTTTAAAATTAGCACATACTAAGGTGGGGGGAAATTCAAAAAAAGAAAAATAGGAAAAAAGAAAAAAAGGGAAAAAAGAAAAAAAGTGAAAAAAAAGCGAAGTGGTAAAAACTCCAAATGGAAAAAGCGTAAAATGGGAACACTTTAGCACGAATAGAGAATAATTTTATAAGCGCGATTTGTTACACGAAATTTAGACAACTGGGAGATTAAAAGTCTTAAAACAAATTAAAGAAATTTTTTTTTTTTGTGCAATACGTGAAGGAACTATATCACACTTTAAAAGATTTTACGAATAAGTTTGAAAGAGCGCAGGGGTGGAAAGAAGGTAAAAAAAAAAAACAAAAGGGGCAACAGTTGCAATGGTATCGCAGTGTCATAGTGGCAGTAACAGCAACGAGGGTATAGTGGCAAAAATGACAAGGCAACATGCATGGAAAAACAAAAATTAATCCAGGTAAGAGGCCCCAACTACGTGATGGTTCCTCCGACGCGATGATACCTTCGATGCGATTATACCTTCGATGCGATGATACCTTCGATGCGATGATACCTCCGACGTGATGATACCTTCGACGCTGAGATTTCGAGGTTGTCATACGTGTATAGTACACGATATCGCGCTTCATTTCTTTTTTTCCTTTCCCTTCTTTCCGTCCCTACTGGGGATCTCTCAATTGATCAGAAGCAACACCAAGGAGACATTTCAACGAATCATGAAATTTTCGGAATGCTTCATTTTCCTGTGTCATAAAAAGTAGCTGTTCTTATACACATTGTCACTTAAGCCATAGATTTTATTACTATAGGATTGAAGAATGTTATTTTCCTGACTGTTGTCATTATCATAATCATAATAGTTGCTTAAGTTTGATTTCCGACTGTTGAATTCTACATTTGCATTGTTAGAATGAATACTTTGATGTATATTATTTATGTACTGGGAGATTTGGTCTTGGTTTTGTTGCAAGAAGGTGTGTGCTTCATTATTTATTTGTTCATTGTAACTCTGCATGCGTTCGTTGATGCCATTTGTTATTCCATTTAAAGTGTGTAAGCTTTTTAGGAAATCGGCTGTTTTGTTTTGGCTTTGCGTCATTTGCGCGGTTCTCTTCTTTGATGTGGCGGCGGGGATATTTTGCAGGCCTTCGTTTTTATCTACTGCAAAGTGGGTCATCACGTCGGATGGGTATTCTTCTGCGCTCTGCAGGAGTAGCGAGTTGTACTGGCCTCCACCGACATGGTTTCCGCTTATGTGATTTCCGCTTACGTGGTTTCCCCTTACGTTGTTGCAGCCATGGTGGTTACTGCCGATTCGGTTGCTGCCAACTCGGCTGCCACTGACATCGTTACCGCCGATATTGTTGATACCGACATGGTTGATGCCGACGTGGTTGTTGCTGACGTGGTTAACGCCGACATTGTTGATGCCGACATGGTTGCTTCCGATGTGGTTATCGCCCACATGGTTGCTGCCGACGTGATTACCTCCCACATTATTGCTGCTGATATCCACGCAGCTGTCGTAGATTCCTATCGTGTTGTCCACGTATTCACTGTCACTGACGTTTTTGTCCTTGCCCAAGTGCGAATTGCAGTTCACTATGTTGTTCAGGGCCATCATGTTAAAAACGTTTTCTTTATAATCATCCGTGCAGCCATGAAGCTGGCTGTAATAATCGTCCACATGATTAAAAGAGGAACTAATCTTTTCGTCCTCATTATTTACATACTGTTCACAGCCATTATTAATTAAATTGAGTTTGTCCTCATAATTGCTTTCACAGTTGTATTGTCCTAGGTTATAATTACTTTCGGTAAGAACTGGGAAATTATTGCTGCGATTATTTTCCCTTGCGTTAATATACGTGGAAAAGAATAAGATAAGTTTCAGTTTAGCAATTAATCCAAGGCCTGCCAATACGTACAGTCTTTTAAATTTATCTTTTTCCTTTTCTGACATATTTACATAATTTTGTAAATTGATTCTCAAAAAGGTTAACTGATCTGAAATGGGCGTAATTAGGCCTTCTATAAAATATATGTCCTTCAAGTGTATTATAATATTTTCGCTAGTCACTTGGTAATTCATTGCTTCCGCTTCCCAGTCCTTCACAAAATTGCCGTCGACCTGGGGAATTAGCGACTCCTTTAGCTTTAACAAAATGTGGATTCTTTCCTTGAAGTTTATTAAAGCCATCCTATCTTGCTGTGTCTATAAGTGGTCGGAAGGGGTAGTCGCGTGCGCACGCTTTCGGCAATGTTGTTGGGCAGCGAGCACAATTATGCTAGCGGCGTTGTTTGCAATTATGCTAGCGGCGTTGTTTGCAATTATGCTAGCGGCGTTGTTTGCAATTATGCTAGAGGCGTTGTTTGCAATTAAGCTAGAGGCATTGTTGGCAATTATCCATTCGGCTTGGTCTGCTACCGCCTACGATACCCCGTTTTGCCACCCCCCTAGCTGCGCTTTCTCTGCTCCTTTTTGGATCCTCCTTTGGTGGCAGGTTGGACAAAAATATTTTGCGAACAAAATTTTATTAACAAGCTTAGGAGATGAATTGCAGCCCTCACGAGCGCACATGTATTTAAACACACAAGCGCCGGGGGAGGGAAGTTAATTCTGGCCTGCTGAACGTACGTAGGCACAGGTATTTATGTTCGCGCGAGGAGGGGAGCACAAACAGGCACAAGCACACGTACACATGTGCATATGTACATATATACACAATATACTCATATGTATACGTACGTATACGCTTGCAGACTTTTCTCACCACTCCCTTTGAAAGTTAATTTTTAAGAAAAACAAAAGGACAGTGATCACGAGGTGGGGAAAACATAAATCTACTATAAAACAAATGACATAAGTTATCACAAAAAATCTTTAAAAATGCTTGTTTTAAAGGCATTCACAAAAAAAGCTGTCATTAAAAATTTTGACATAGAGACTGGATTAAGTACAACTGCAAGGTTAAAAAGGTTTGTAGCAAAAGAAACAAGAGAAAAAATAGGAGCGATTGTCATATTAAATGGCACAAAAAAAAAAAAAGGAAAAAAGAAATGGGGAAATAATGCGTCGGTGAATATGTATAGGCGAGGGAACGTGTGAACGGATGGGAGAATAAATTTATGAATGTAGGGTGGGCGAACGGATGGGCGAGAGGGAAGGAAAGTGTAGGAATAAACGAAGGGGACGTATAAAAAAGATGAAAATAAAGAAAAGGCATGAAAATGAATGGAACACAATCACATGGAAAAATGACAAGCACGAGAAAGGCCAAAATAGTCTCTCGGTAGGGTTTAAATACTAACAAAATAAATCGAAAAACACAAAGGAAAAACTTGAAATGGAAAAAAAAAAATAAATATAACACTCTGTGAACATTACGGCATCGTCAGGTAAATATAGAGAACAGGGGGGAAAAATAAAAACAAAATAACGTCGCAGGGTGGGAAAAACATTGGAAGGTGTAAAAAAATGAAGCGTTCAGGTGTTCACATTTTTGGTGTTTTTGAGAGGGTTTAACCCCAAACATTTAACTTCCACTGTTTAACTCCCACTGTTTAACCTCTTGCACGCTTAACCCTTTAACAATTTTAAAGAGTAACCGGTGCGCCCCCCAAGCGCGAAATCCCCTATGCCCTTACACCTTTACACCCTCTACAAAATTCCCTAGAACGCCCCCGAAAGCAAAATGGCTTAAATCCTTCAAAATGCATATGTCGCGATTTTTTCCGCTGTTTTTTTTCTCAACACTTTAAGGTTAAATTTGTTAACATGTTGGAGGCACATTTATGCGAAAAATCAGAAAAGTGGGTTTTCGGAGGATGTGCATAGGAATGTAAAAATGTACATATACGTAGTACACACACTTACCTGTGAAGGGCGGTGTTGATAGCTTTGACAAGTGCCTTTATTTTAGCCCCCATGAGCAATCTACTAAGAGACAATTTTGTTTGCGCCTATTGGCGCTACCCCATTTTAACCTTCCCCCGCCCAAATGTTTATTTTTTTAAAAGTGGCATCATCACGGAATTATTTTTTTTCGTTTCGCATCTGTACATTTAGGCCGGAAAATGCGAGTTTCCGCGTGAACAAATCACAGGTCTGCAAAATGTGCTCCATTTTTTTTCCCCCTTCTCATTTCCCCCGTTTCTTACTCCAAATTTTTCGCCAAAAAATTTTGATTCTCCTTTGTGCCAGTTTTCACCTAAATTACTGTCATGTAGTTCTACTTAGGTCGTTTCACTTGGTAAATTCCCGCGCATTTATGTTTTCCCCCTTGCGCTTAAAATGTATCTGCCCTTTTTAAAGGGCGAAAAAGTGTAGCACAAGAAGTGTAACGAATTTGAAAATTAAAAAGGGAGAACAGTGGCATCAATTTTTAACATGAAAAATTAGCTTTATGGGAACATTTAGTTTTTTTAATATTTTTTTTTCTTCTCACATGTAGGAGTAACTCCCAAGGGGTCGCGTTCTCCTTACATTTGCAAAAAGTTAGCGTAAATTGAATTTTTTTTTTCCTCCACAATTTATAACAACCCATTTGGTTCTTCGTGCCTCTTCTTACCCCATCCATTTTAATCCTCTTGTTTGCCTCAAGGGGTTGACTCATCCTACTGCGTCGCTGACGAGCGGCAGTTGAAACGGGACTTTCCTGCGACACACAAAAGTGTCTCCCAATGGGCACATGCGAAGGAGAACGCGACGATGATCCCATTGCGCACATGTGTACACATTTTATTCAAAGCGATGTGCGCAGGTTTTCCCCCGGACTCATTCGATTGTGTAAGTTCGTTTCCCATCAGATGGAACGAACCATGCTTGCCATATACAAAATGCTGCATAGGATGACCAAACTATGCGGGGTTGTCTATATCCCTGATTGCTGCTAATTCATGTGGGGGTCCCCACTTCTTTAAAGCTTACGCTAACATATGATAAAAGCATGAGTGCAAATATATGAAATTAGCGTGTCTGCGAAGGGGGGGAAAGCGCCTATAATTACTTACCTGGTGTTGACGCAGAAGAAGCATCACTGTTAAAAATGCGCAGAATGTTATGTTACGAGAAAACAAAAAGAACAGTTCTTAAATCACCGCAGTGATGACACGAAATTGAAAAATAATTGCTCTATTTATGTTTTTTCATACTGTATGGCAAAGCTGAGTAAGCGCTATCGTGGGTATTCTTCCGGGGGGGATATTTCCAAATTTAAAAGTAAAACGGCTGCACTTCCCTGTGGCATGTTACGTTCGAGTCCATGCTCAAAATTGCCAAAAGGGGTAAGAGGTCCTCTCGTTTCTTCGGTGCTTTTTTCAACTTAACGTGTGCAGATTTTTTTTTTTTTTTCATGTGGCAATCTGCATAAACCGTTGGACGCATGCAAAAAAAAGTGACAGAAAAGTACTCACTTGGTTAACCTTTTTCTTAGAGGATAAAACGTGCCATTTTCCCATTAATGTCAATTTTCACTTTAGGGGAACTTCATCATGATGATCACTTTTGGTATATTAAGTATCTTTGTGTTCTTCGGATACAACCATTTTTGAGGTTAGAAAAAAAAAAAAAGGCTTACCATTGTGTTCGCCCGAATAAGGCTTAACTTGCCATCAACTGATGTGTTTTTTCTTTTTTTTTTTTCCTTTCGGGGCTCCCATTTCGCCCCGCTTTCCAGACAAAAGGAGGACTCTATTTCCTCGTGCGACATCTACATATACGCACATGTGGCTTATCCCCCTTTTTACGCACAAACATGTTTAAACGTTCTTATAAATTCTCATGCAACGGTACACAACAGGTGGGCACTTCGACACGCGCTCTCAAAATGGCAGTTTACATTGGGGTTTAAAACATTTGGAGAAAAGGCAGTAGGGACCTATTTGGCAAGAAGGATGCACCAATTGAAGCCTTCCAAAATTCAGCATGAACGCCGGCAGTGACGTAATTTTGTTTTTTTCTCCTTTCTTTTTTTTGCATACCTTTTCTTTTACTCATCTTGTTTTTTTCATCTACCATTCTTGTTTTTTATATTTTCATTCCAAAAAGGAAGGTTAAGCGTTTTTTTAAGAAATAACCTGCAGTTTCCGCAAATCGACGTGAATTCAACATGAGGAGAAAAAAAAAATAAAATGAAATAAAATAGAATAAAAAACAGCGGGAGCGTACATTGCAGCGGAGAACGCAACAGGAAGGAATTTTCCTGCATCGAAAAGGAAGAGCAGAGTGCAACACGAAAAAGGGTGGCATATTTTGCACTTCTCAGAAGGAGGCTGCAGGGGAAAAGGCATTTAGTGGAATAGGTGCACATTTTTAGGTCCAGTTTGAGGTACACCTCGAGCCGCACGCCGCCGCGCCCCCTAGAAGTTGAGGAAAATGTCAACCGAGCGCATGATGGAGGGCAGCGGAAGGTACATTTCCAATACATATTTGGAGGAATTCAACGAATCGGAGAATGATGAGCAGATGATAAGGAGGAAGATTAACGAGTATGCTTTCAAGTTAAATAACGAAATGGAACATCACTCGAGCCAGTCCATATATTGTGGATTGGGTGGAATCCTCTACATGGATATCATCCTGTACGAAGGAAACGACGATTACTCATTCTTACAATTTGGAAGTAACATAGTAAAGAAAATAAAGTCGTGCAGAGGGAAAGACACAGTTAGTTTTCTGGAGGGACCCAGCGGATTGTATAGCTTGGCTACCGTGCTTCATTACTATTTGGAAAACCATTCAAGTGTGGACAAGTATATACAATTCTTGGTGACCTATTTGAAAGATAAGAACGATGAATTGGTATCCATAAGTGGAGAGTGTGAATTGCTATATGGAAAATGCGGTTGTATATATTCCTTCCTCTTCTGTAGAAATATATGGATGAAATCAGACCATAGGTACACCATATTACAGAATTTGTATATCATTATGACGTCCATATTTGAATATGGCTTACTAAAAGGTTCCACCATGTGGAACGTGACATCTCTGTCGCTATACTTTGAATGGCATGAACAGATTTACCTCGGTGCCGCCCATGGGTATGCAGGCATTTTTCTCGTGTTGTACAAAATGATCATGTTTTTTCATTACAATTTGAAAGAGCTATGTGAAGCGTTGCTAGGAGCTGACAGCGTCGCCATTCCAGAGATCGATGAGGCAAAGTACAAACGGTGCCGAACCAACACCATGGAGAAGCTCAATGAATACCTGTCCTTAATATATCAAGTAACTGACGAAATTATGAATTTGTACCTTACGGAGGATTGTAATGTTTATTCTTCCATTAAGAAAAATAAAACACAGATAAAAAATGACACGTTAGTTCAGTGGTGCCATGGCAATGTCGGCTTCGTCATCTTAATAATTGAGTTATTGAAATGCCCATTTGCCCCCAACTATTTCGTGAATAAGTATAGCAAAAGTTATTTGGAAAGAATGGGCCTTCTCATATGGGAACGAGGGTTACTATTCAAAGGGATGGGACTTTGCCACGGCATAGCAGGGAACGGGATCGCTTTCTTGTACCTGTATAAACATACGGGCGGGAGGAAGTGGTACATTAAAGCTTTGAAGTATGCCCTCTTCTGTATTAAACATTTTGATCGATTTTACAGCGTGCCAGACAGGCCCGACTCACTGTTCGAGGGGTATGCGGGGTTGGTCGTGTTCCTTAATTTCCTTTTGAGACCCGACTCGACTTACTTCCCAGCCTATGACCCCCCCCCGATTTGTCCTGAATGCTGGGCTCGCAGGAGTAGGAAGCGGCCGCGTCCTTCAGGCTCCTCCGCGCAGCATGAGGAGGAGTTCCAACGCAGAGACACAGACATGTATGTATATATGTATGTACCTATTCACACGCGCCCCCCCCCCTGTGTGCGCTTCTGCGCAGAACGGTGGGAATATCGAAACGCCCCCCTTCCTCCATCTCATCAGAGGACACAGCACCCCATGTGCATTATCATATGTACCCCCATTGCTACATGCGAAGTGGCAAAACAGCCAATCGCATGGTTACAAGAAAAAAAAAGGCAAAGGCAAAGATATTACAACAGTGCTACTTTGGAATGTACCTACCTCGTAGCTTTTTGCACAGCGAATGGACCGCTTTCGACAGGGGAGTTAACACTCCCGTCACCACCAGTACGTCTCCGTCCTTTTAACTGCATGTCTAGTTACGCGAACCAATATTGGAACGCATGCATACTCTTTGTTTTAGCCATTTGTGTGCCGCGTTTACCTTAGTTTCGTCCGTCTTCTCGAACCCTGTAACGAATTCACCTCTTTGTAAAATATAGCCACCTGATTAAGCCCGCTAAATGCAAATGATCCCATTCATTGGATAAGTCTAGAAAGGGATATATGCACAATGCCTCTTGTGCATTGAATAACATTCTTTGTAGAAATCAAGTGGGGGAATACTTCGTACGTAGGCCTGTCGCTCCAGTGGGTCCATGATTGAAAAGGAGAGTACCCCGTCGAAGAGGCACCCCACCGGTGCAGTGAAAATTAGAAGTACAGTGGGGGGACAAAGGAAACGGATAATAAGCGTAAAAATTTTTACTGAACATCAAATGGAGAATTACTCTCCTCTTTGGACAAATTAAAAAGGGAAGGAGGGCAGGATGGCAACCGTGGTGGTGGCGAAGGAGGGACACGCGAAGGTTATTATTCACGAAGCCATCCCTACGTATGTAGTAACGGGCGGGTTAATTGACCGAAAAAAAAAAAAGAGGAGACTCTCTTCCTCCCTTGACAGTGTTTGTTAACATGTGTTCAGGTTAAAAATGCAAAACTGTAAAACGAAAAAAAAAGAAAAAAAAAACTAGACACGTAAGAGGAGCGCACACGAGGTACGTGCAAACGGGGCTGAGGCCGAAAACAACGAGGTGGCCCTAATACAAATAGGATGCGATGGATGAAAAGTTGCCAAGTGAGGGGTGAGAACTACGAGAGGCACTCAATTTCATAGCGAACGCGATGGGAAGTATGAGCACACACGACAGCTATGTCGCGGAATTCAGGCAGAAGGATTCCAAACTTCCATTCGACCCAGCCACGGTTAAATACACCGTAGTGCGAGAGGATCGAGGAGGGATAGGCAAACGTTCTGACCCTTGCCTTACTCTGTCAATTGATAGACGATGGGGAGGAGGTTCCCCATTTGGTGATGCCATTTTGTGGATTGCCTTTTTCTTAATTACATAGACATTTAAGCAGGAAACATCATAGACAGCCATTTTGATTTTCTTTTCCCTCTTCAAAAAAATATTTTCATTCTTGTCCCTTCTCACATTCCAAATGGAGATGTACTGATCCCAGGAGACGCTTGCCAAGAAATTGGAGAACAGAGCCAACGATCTGATGGAAGACAAATGCGCGTTGGTAAAACTGCTTTTTCCTACAACTGACAGGTGTATGTGGTTAGGCTCTCCATTTAGCAAAGATTCGGAAGGAGGAGAAATTTTCACCGTGAGGACATTTAAGGACTGATCATCCCCGCAGGTGAATACCTCTAATGTGTCCTTCCTCCTCTTAACGCATAGTTTGTTTATTCCATTCTGATGCAACTGCACCTTCTCCATCAGGGGCACTAGCTTCTTGCCAAACTGGTAGAAGTGAATCTCTCCGTTATTTAATCCGCAGCATAATATGCTTCCCCGGAATATCTTATTCCCCTTCCGTTTGTTTAGGAGAAGGTGCTCAGTCGGCTTATGCAGACTGTTCGGATGGCCGCAGCTTACTCGCTGGAGTACATCTTCCACTTTATTACTCGGAGGGAATGTTTGACATTCACATTTTTCTACTTTTTTCCCCCCATTCGTCTCCTTAGCTTCAAGGCGGCCATTGTCATTATCATTTCGCATGTGCAGGTGCCCCCCAAATTGTTCAGATGAACAGTTTCGTTTTTCTACCTCTGCAAAGTTGCCAAATGAAACCCTTTTTTGAAAGAAGCAACTTCGTAGAGGGGCACTTCTTCGATCGTGTAACCCACTGTGTGCATCCCCCTTGCACTTGTTTTCCAAGGAATCACTCAAAAAAATGTCCGTTAAACTTAAAGCCAGAATGGTGCTCCCCAAATTGTATGAACATACTAGATGGGCCAGCTCCATAACTTTGGAAAAAATGATGTTCTCATAATGCGCAAATTCATAGTCGCCTGCATAGTGAAGTATAAGTCCAAGTGATGTGCCAACAAATAGATCCACCCTAATGAGGTGTCTATTCCCATCAGTGAGTAACACACGGAACCTCCCCTGCACAGATAGGAAGCGCAAATCGCTGGAGAACTTGTGCACTCGTACTTTCTCTACATGATAAATTATTGGTGTGTTCTGAACATCCATATATAGGTAAAAAATGTTGATCGAGTTTTTTGCTCCAACGCTGGTTAGCAGTTTTAATTTTTTAAAATGGTGAAAGGGGCTCTCCAAGAAGCACATGTAGAATATGGGCTCACTGTGGTTATACACATTTTGGATGATGTCCATTCTGTGATTTAGAAGGCTAATTTGGTTTTGCCTGAAGGGTGAATTTTTCCGTGTGCTCCTTTTGAAGGATGCACGGGTGAAGGGAGAGTGATGCTTCTTCTCGGGTGAAAATTCCGTGCCGTCAATTATCCTACTAGATATTCTTCTACCATCCTGTTTGTCCTCCTTGGAGGGAGCGGCGAGCTCTCCTTTCGACCTGCCATCCATGTTATTCCCCCAATTGGTATTTTCTCCCCTGTTTAAGAAACACTTCTTTTTCCATTTTTCAGCACAGCACTTCTTCACGTGAACAATCTTTATCGTTCCATCCTCCGAACATGTGCAGAGATATCTTTTACTTACCCACAGTACGCAGGAAACATTTTTGGAGTGAAACCCCGGGTTGATGTATATTTGTTCGTACGGGAAGGTGGCCCTCTGCTGAGTGCTGCACAATGTTTTCACGCTAAAATGGACATTCTTCTCTTTGCAAAAACAGAAGGAAAATGCTTTCATAAAATTTGGAGAAAATTTCGTGAAGATGCTGAGGGGGCGTCTGAAACCACCGCACTGGACGGACAGGTACTCCACTTTGTTTCGCAAATCGTACAGAACGAATTGTTTATCCTTAAAGCAGCAAATGAACATGTTGTGTGTGTTTTCCTCCTCACCGTGTGTGGGTGCACTGCTTCTCTGCAGTTTTGAGTTAGCGCCTCGCGTGATGTGTCCATGGTATTCCTGTTCTACTTCTCCCACTTTACCCACGTGACACATTTGTTCATCCAGCCCCAGATTGGATCCCCCTTGTACTGCCTTATGGCTGCCAACGGACATGGGCAGCAACTTATAAATGGAGGTATAAAAACCAACTTTAATTAAGCACAGCCGGTACAAGGTATACACCCCGTTTCCATCCTTATACAGCTGGTACTTAACGATGTGCCCATTCTGCCCACAGGAGTAGACAAACCGATCGATTATCTTAATGTCAAACACTTTTCTGTTATTATGAACACGTAATTTCTGTTTCGACTTGATAAAGGAATTAGGAAAGTCGTAAAACAGTTCTTGTGAATTGTACTCAATGGGTGTCTTTACATAGATAACGAAGATACACCCATATTCATCGCCCACGAAAAATATGATACCCATTTTTTTTCTTCTTTGTTTCATAAGGTAAGTCACTGAAATGATCTTCGACTTGTTATTCTTCACATCGATGTATGTTTGGGCGACTTCGTTTACTTGGGCCTTGTTTTGCTCGATTCTGTCTGCCTCGAATTTGTGTTCACCTTTTTCTGCGCTGAATATTTGAATAACTCCCGTGTGGTCAAAAACCGCTAGGAGTAACGTGCGGATGTGTACCACTCCGCTTCCGCTCTGCGCGTCGTGTGAGTTGCCCCCCCTGTGCTGGAGTGGGCCCGCCTCGTGGTTATACACAATTTGGTAGAAGTTGCTCGTTGCGCGGGGGTCACCATTGTTGTATCGGTTTCTACGGCAGTTCCCATCAGAGGCTCCCCCCTCCACCTCCTTCTTCACCCAGGCGTGCAAAACGTCTTCTACATTGCCATACCCCGCACGGGAAATCAACCTGTCGTAATTCACAGATGCCAGGGGAACCAAACACATCTCACTGATTCGGTGGTCGAAGCACTTAAAATAAGTTAGCTCCTTATTCTGTTCACCGGATTTTATCAACTCGGTTGCATCCTTTTCGTTTTTTAAAAAAATGAAGCAGCAGAATCCGTTGCTAAATCCGAGGCATATATAATCCAAGCCATGAAAAGCCAGGCACGTCACCAGGTAGTTTTTTTTTTCCTCTTCATAAATTAACAACACTTGTATGTTTTTCGTGTCTTTCGCGTCTTTCGTTTTAAAGATGTATATGCGTCCTGCATTGGTGCTGATTATTATGTCGTATAAATTTACATGGCTTACCGATCTGATCCAGTCGTTACTCCTTCTCAGTTTTTCCTCCAGGTAGTCGACTACAAAATGGATGGAGTCGTTTTGCGCCACCAGGTCCTTTGCATGTGTGTACTGCTTGCCCGAGTTGTTTGGTAACTGGTCGGAAGGGTTACTCTGCTTTGTACACGCTCGATGACTAACGTTGGAAATGCTTTCATCGTCGGTGCGGTTCACCCTTTTCGACTCAGCCATGTGGATGTCATCAATGCAGTCCCTTTCGGAATGACCACACCTCCAGCTGCTGTGGCCATTCGTTAATTGCGCAGTCCTCGTGTGAGTGCACTCCTTTGGCTCCGGTTGGGCATCTACACCGTGGGGGGGAGCATCAATGGTGGTGGAGGAGGCAGAAGCACAAGCAGGGGCAGCATTCTGTTCCCCCTTTGGGGAATCTGCGCATGAAGAAATAATGGGACCATTTTTGTCCCCACTTTTGGAACACACACTTGGGGTATTCAAAGCAAAACTTTGTTCCCCCTTTGGGGAGCCTCCACTTGAAGCAGTAGTGGCACCATTTTTGCTTATCCCCCACGACAGGGACCTGACATGCACGGTGCCATTGTCACTACCCGAAATGATCACCCCCAATGGTTCGTGGAAGCAGATACATCTGACGGTGCTTCCGTTATTGTTCCCGAATTGGAAGTAATTCTTGGGATATCCTTTTTTGTAGACAATGCAAGTGGAGTCTTCGCTGCATGTCATGAAATAAATCTGCTTATTGAACACTCCCATGTCGATGTCCCATATGCGGGCGTCATGCCCAGTTAGTACCCTAACGCATTGGTATTGAGCGTGGTGGTGAGAGTGGCAGCGATCGAGGTTGCGCTGGATCAATTCGTTTCCGTTTTTTGTGTTCATAACGGGGTGTTCCCTTTGCGCTTCTACACACATCCGTCGCCATATGCGTCCCTCTCTGTCATCCGAGACAGAGCCAACATATTTGTGCTTTCCAAAAAACTTGACCTTAAAAATTATTCCTCTGTGCCCCTCTAATTCTTGAGCATGTTCCAACGAAGTGATTTTTTTGGAAAGGAAAAATTTTACCGTTTTTTTGTTTTTTCTCAATTTGAAATTCCATAATAATATTTTGTTGAAAGGGGTTCCTCCAGCTACCTCAATCTTGTACACTTTTTTTTTCTCATCAATGGAAATGTCTGCACTGTATAGGAGGTGTATTCCTTTGAACTTATACTTGAGGGAGCTGATCCCTCTGTAAATGTGCAGTAGTAGAATGCTTCCATTGCTTAAGCATAGAAGAATCACATTGCGATTATCCCTTTTGGTACGAGTTTCTTTCACATTCGCATCGTGGGATGTCTCATCGGTGTTTTCATAAGTAGGAAGCAGAAACTTTGCCCGTAGTATCCATTTGTTGGTGCAATACTTATTAACAAGTTTTAAAGCACAGGTTTTACCATTTGAAGAAATATTTAGCATATAGCAATAAATTTTGTGCACCCCATGGGCAATTAATGTGCCACCATTCTGGGACCTCCTTTGAAATGTCAATCCGTAGATGTTGCTGCTTGTTGAGGCTGCAAATTGTAGCAGCACATCTACAGTTGTTACGTTTATTATTTTTATTGTATTTCCAAAGGAGACGCACACTAGCTCTCCGTCGATAATGCACACTGCCTTGACACCGTGGTTCGCGCATATTCGTCTGCACTCGAACATTTTGTGGTTTCTTCCTGCTGGCATTGTGGACAGACCGTTTATCGATGCAGTTCACATGTAAATGAGCCCTTCTGAAGATGCAGTTTGAATGTAGATCCAACCTTTTCAGAAGAACTTTTTCTCGTTATCCGCTCTGTTTGGTAGATGCCCTTTGAACTAGGAATTTCCCTCCCCTTTTAGCAGATGCGCCTTCACGACAGACGCGCCTTTCCATTACAGGCATCTTCCCAACGCTTTCCTCTCTTCGAATCCACCTTACTGTGAAGACCCGCCTTGATTCGCTTCCGAGCAGTATGCCCCTTCCAAAAGTCGCGGATCCGAAGGGTCAACTATTTTATGAAGCTTAATTTTACAGAATTGTTTCGAGCACATATGAATATTTATATGCTTAGATCTTATTCAGCCAGGGATAAAATAGCCCCGTGGGCGGTGTGCATCTCATACCAACGAAAGGGGCTTCCGCTCGACGGATGACATATGTAGTGCGGCACGATGTGATGCGACGCAAACGAGATATGCAGAATTCAGAGAAGAAGAAGGCTGCACAATAAAAGCGGCCAAATTTACTTTCAACAATTGGTAATCTTTTATATTATTTTTTTATATTACTTCGAAGCGGAGATAAAATGACGCCTCGCTTTTTTGGAACCTTTCAAATACTTAAAAGCAGCTGCCCCCAACGGGGGTTCTACGGATGCGGCGTACGTATTCACATCCAACCTGTGAGTCATGTTGCCAATTTTTTTTTTTTTTCCCATACATTGTTGCATACATCTTGGAGTGTTTCACTTGAATTAAATTGTCCCTTTACGTAAAGTAGTAAAAGTAACTGTTTCGGCAAATACGTGGCAGAGTTCATTGAAGTTTTTTCCAATCCCAGTGGAATCCATTTTGTACGTGTTTTACTGAAGCTTTTGTGGGGAATGCGGCATTTTTAATGCACATTTCTTCAGGGGGGTAGGAAAAAAAAAAAAGAAAAAAAAAGGAAAATCCTTACTAAAGCGAATACGATCGATATCGGAATTATACTCACCCTAAATGCGGTGAACATTATTTTCCTCTAATAGCACAACACGTGGTGGCACTCATGCAGATGCAAGTGTCCATGTACATGCGAGTAGCACCAAGGCGCTTGTAAGTTTTCCTGATTGCTCGTTTGCCCTTTTCCGAGTTTTTACGGCAGCCGCTTTTATCTCCACGCTTTCACGAATAACCAGGCCGCGGAAAACTCACCTACGCCATGCATTTCAAGTAATGAATTAAAATACTTGCTGCCACGGAGACGTTTAAAGAGTTGGTCATTTCGTGCATGAGCAAACTTATCCTACAAAAAAGGGAAAAAAAAAAAAAAAAAAGGGTGGATAGTAAAATTCGCCAACACGTAAATTGACTCAGAAATGAAACGATTTGAAAAAGGCATATCTTCGTGGATTCCCACAACAGCTACTTCTCACGTGCGCGCAATTTTTATATTACGGTTTTGCGAAGCTCAAGACATCCGCGTGCGGGCCGGTGGATTCATTCCCCAAAATGAGACACACTCCCTTCCCTTTTTCACTTGACGCTTTTAAAATGTGGACTGGATTGGCTCCATTCGTATGTGCCACAATTGGAAGCAACTTATGTGCATCACAGAATTGTCTTAGTTCTAAATATGAGCCGAATAGGTAAGGAATTTGAAAATGCGATCCCTTGGTCATTTCGATAACTTTGTGGTTAAATGGATCCACTGTGTTGTGAACATAAAAGAGATAATCAACACCCATGGAATAGGCCGTGTTTAATATTTTTCCCAAGTTGTACGCATATCGTATTCTATCAAAAGCTAGCAGAAATTTGATGGGCTCTTTTGGTGGAACCGACTTTGGTAACTTCACTACAGCTACAGCATCGTTTCTCGCTTCTTTATTAACTTTTATGGAGTCACGAAAAATGTAATTTAACGTGTCCATGTCTGCATAATACAGTTTGGAGCATTTGCTTTTAAAATGGTCCAATAGACTTTTGCTGTTTGATAAAATAACTTCAAATGTGAGATTATGGTTACTCGCCAAATGTGTAATAGTTGAGGACTCTTTTACAAAAAAGGAATTCATTTTTTTTCGGAAGTTCCTTTTTTTCCTTAACCTTATTATGTACTTCATCATTTTGGACCTTTTGGAAATACTCAGATATTCGTTGTCCCCTTGTGGGGATCTGTCTACATGGCTTCCTCCCCGCAGCAGTTCTGTTTTACTTCCCCCCTTCTCGTTGCGGCTTAACCAGTGAGGGGGTGCGCACTCACTGTCGTTACATTCGGGGCCAATTCCATGGCTGCTTCTGCTGCTCCCCCCGCAGCTGCTCTCCCACACAGCAGTCGAGTGCCGCCTCTCTAGGCGCAACTTCGCTACATCCCCCAGATGGGCAACACATCCCGGATGTGTAAAAAAGCGCTCTGAAAAAAAACATTTATCAGTCGTGCGCCTCCTTACCACAGTTGTAAAAGAAAACATTTTAATTCGTAGTCTTACGAGAGTAGCATCGTCAACATCATCCCCTTTGCCGGAGATCCATCATTTTGTAAATTCCCTCTCCATGGAGAAAAGGTTACTCCGACGTGCTTTTCTAAATAATATTTGCTTGTCAATGCGCAGTTTAACGGGTGAAAAAAAAAAAATGTATGCGGGGTGGAGAGGAAAATTTTTTATTAATACGCAGTTACTATATCTTCCTATGAAATGCATTATCTGTTGTTGCTTTAAGGTGGGGATAAATACAAAAAATGTCTTAGCACAGATTGTTTTGGCCAACATGGAATTATTCACCTTCGGAAAAATTGTTACACTGTTTGAAGGAGTGTTAAAAATGTGAAGAAATGGAAGCACCTTCTAAAAGTTATTTTGTATATGACCGGGTTTGGGTTCTTAAAAAAAAATTTCTGCGCAGTGAAACGCCATTTATACTAAGAAAAGCTCAGAGAGGGATCGAACTTCCAAGTACGTGCGTACAATATTGCAGGCCTTTTTTTTATGAAGAGAAAGAAGGCACGGCGAAAATGAAAATAGTAAAATGGTACATATGGTGACTACCAAGTGGGAAAAATTTACGAAAATTTCCGCCCTATGAATCCTCCCTTTAGTAACAATTCCGCAGCACAATTTAGCAAAAACAACAAAGAAAAACAAAAAAATGAAGCCAAAATAAACTGTTACAATCTGTGTTCCCTTTGCACAAGCAGGAAAATGTTCTTTTCTTTTCCTTCCCTCCCACGGCCGAGATTCTTTACTGCAAAAGGAAGGGAAAATCAGAATAACCAATTGAAGGGAGGAGCACACACGGGAAACCTAATCGAAGGAAAGATCAACACTTGACCGCACATTTCGTTCATATCAGAAATGTTACTACATACCTGTTTACTCTTTTTATCATTTGGCCTGAATTTTATTTTCGCATTTAAATCGAGTACCCCCTTATTGCCAAGTCTATTTTTAAACGCTTCACTGAGTTTGCAAGTCAATGGCCATAACGGCGTGTTCAAAAATAGAAGGAATTTTTCGTTGTATGGAGTTCCGAAGAAAAAAAGTTCGCATCGAAGAACAAGAAGAAGGAAAGTCGCGTGGATGAAGAAGAACCCCGCCAAGTTATACAGGGTAAGTGTTGCAAAGGGGGCCAACTAGGTGTCAGCATGGCTGAAAATATGTATATGTACCCATTGATATGTATGAAAATATACACACCTGTATGAAAGCCTTTTTATCGCCTCACCCCCGTTTACCTCTTTTCTTATCTACAATGCATACTCGTAAAAGCGGTTGTCTTGCGCGTTTAAGATATTGTTCACAAAAAATAGTATACGCACAAAAAGACCACCACAAATTGAACGAAACGTTCGTTATGCGGATGCACTACTTTATGTGGGAAGAAAGTTTTCTGTCTTTTTCTTTCGCCGCTTCTGCCGTTTTTTCACACACATGTGCATGACACCGTTTTTTGAGGCATGTTTTCCGAGTGGCATCGTAGCACGTAGATGCAAATCCGTTTGGCATTTTCCTAATTTGTCTGCGTTATAATTTACCTGGCTAGCTATTTTTCCTTTATTTTATTTTTTTTTTTTTTGCGCGCAGACTAGCTCCTACGACATGGATGAAATAATGCGGTACACTGACAGAAAACTGACGGCGCACTACACAACGAGAGATAGCTGGCTAAACCTCCCTCCAACAACCCTAATTAATGATTTTTTTTTGTTTAGAGAAATAAGAAGTTGAAAGGGGAAGGTGTTTTTGAAGTGCCTATTTTCAATTCCCGTCACACGCACACACGTGTATGTATATGTGTACATATATATATAAATATATTTATATACTCACACGCATTCACACGCGCATGCGCACACAAGGTAGCGTAGACCCATCACGCGAGCAAATTGGCCGTATAGTTTGTAATTTTTTTACGTCCTTGCGGAGGTATGGATAAATATATACCGCGCCTCGCGTGGACTTATTAGCGTGGCTTTAAAAGGTTACCACCTGTGCGGAATTGAAAAAAAACAGGCAAAAAAATTCTGGCAATTTGTTTGACTTAACCAGAAAGGAGGGAGAAAGTAAATAACTGATGACATGAAGAGGGAAACAAAATTCACGAACATGTTTACAACCCACCTGTTGCTATAGTGATTGTTACTGTTGTGTTATTGTTACTTTTATTGTTGCTGTTATTGTTACTTTTTTTATTGTTGTTTCCTTTTTTCTGTTTTGTTTTTTTTCATTTTCCTTTTTTATGACTCTTTTTGTAGCAGATTAAAAAACAGCCATTTCTTGCGTGCGTTATGTTTTTTCTTTTTGATTTTTCAATTTTCACGCCTGCGTAAATTTTCGTTTCAAATTTAAGGGGTAGCCGAGTCGCTGTTTCATCATATGTGTGCACAGACCAAGTGTTGTTTACAGCATGTTTAACAGAAGTTTCTTCTTAAATCTTCTTATACACCTGTTGAGGGGCAGATGTGTAGAATTGTGCGCGTATTTGTAAGCAATTTGAAAAAAAACGGTTTAAAAAAAAAAGAAAAAAGCTATCTGATAATTTACGCAGCAATTTGGCAACAAATTGGCAGCATTCTGCGTCAGCAACTTGCGTTAACAATTCACGTTAATGATTCACGATAATAATTCCCGCTACAAACTCACGTTAATAATTCACGTTAATAACTTACGTCAGTAAGTCACTCCAATAACTCACGTCATAATTTATGTGAATTTTTTTTTTTTTTTTTGCCCGGGGTAACACCTTTCCGTCGTGAACAACATCACAGGTTTTCGCCTTTAATAATTAATTTTGTGAAAAACTCTAGCACTTCGCAAAAAGATATTTTTCATTTAACGCGTTTCAAGTTTGGATGTACTCCATGTTTTGAAAGAAGAGAAGCCGCCTTTGTACACACTGTGTTGTTTTTGCTTCGCCTCGTTTAGGTCACATCGTTTAATTTTTCCTGTTATTTTGTCGGTTGTTTTTCCTCTATTTTTCCCGTTTTTTTTCCCTCTAGTTTTCCCGCAATTTTCCTCCCTATCTTTCCCGTTGTTTTTTTCCCCTACGAGGATTAGAAAAAACACAGCTGTGTGTAAGTATTTCTCTATTCTCCCATTTAACACCTCACGTAGAACCAAAAAAAAAGAAAAAAAAACACGAAACGGTAGCTTCGCCAGAATCTCTACCCCCCACGTAGAAGGTAAACCTTCGTCAGATGCGCCTTTAAAATTGGATTAACAGCTGCATTTTTGTCACCCCGCTTCGTTATAACACTCACACAAACACACATATGTGTGTTCGTATGGGCGTCATTTAAGGAACGGCAAAAATAGCAGTAACAGTTACGCTGCGTGCCCCGTGTATATGCGTAGAGATATTTCCACACAACCCTTCTCTTGAATTAACTTCCCCTTTTTAGCGAATCCACCCCCGAAGTTCACCCGTCGTTGGTATATTAGGCCCCCGTCTGTTCGTTTAACGCGCAGTGGTTATCCCCCCGGTTGCCATAGATGCGCAAGAGCTGAGGCAAACGGAAAACAAACACATAAGTGTATATATATACATATACGTATACCTACTCGTATATGCTCAAACACACCTTGTAATCGCCCCATCCAAGAAAATGTGCTCCACGAACCAGAAACTAGCCTGCTGCTCTGGAGACAATGTCTTCGAGTCCAAGGAAAATGGAAATGATTCGTACCCACAGATGGTGAACAAACAACTGCCACCGAAAGTGTTGGAGCCAATTGTACAAAATAAAATTGTTGAAGTTCCCAAGGAAGTATATCTTGAAAAAATTGTTGAGGTCCCCCAAATCAAGACAGTCGAAAGGATAGTGGAGCAAATCAGGCCAGTCATTAAGTACAAAAATGTGTACAAAACGAAGACAGTATATGTTGAGAAGGTAAAAAATGTGGATAGAATTATATATCAAGAAAAAATTGTGGAAGTCCCACAAATAAAGACGATTGAAAAAATTGTTGAAGTTCCAGTTTACGTTGACAGGGAAAGAATCATAACCGTGCCAAGGTACATGGTCGTAGAGAAAGTAATCCCCGTTTTGAAAACTACCAAAAAGGAAAGCGTCATGGAAATCCCAGAAATTAACTGCCCCAATATTGACATTACTGAGGAGGTGGAAAATAAGGAGGAAATTCAAATAGAGGACTTGAAACAAAACCAGACAATTAACGTTATCCGCGAAGAAGATATTCAACACTTGAACGAGCTAAACATCCAGAAGATTCATTCCAGTGCAACACTCAATGCTGAAGGTGATCAGGACACCACCGTGGATACTATCAATAACGAGAATTTCTGCTCAACCGTCAGCTGTAAATTTTTGCCCACGTATGATAACTTCCCCAAAATGCAATCTTCCACGTGTAATGGATTTCTGCAAAGGGAAAAAAGGTTCTCAAGCCTGAACATATACAAATCCAAGGACGCGGGATTCCCCAAAATTAGGATTTCCAAGACACCTCAGTTTATTCAGAGGAACTGCTACTGCAACTACGCCTGAGGGAGGCGTACATCTGGCAGTTGTGCAGAAGCCGCATAGGAACCGCATAGGAACCGCGTAGAAGTTGTGAAAGAGTTTTTGAGGATCCATTTGTAAGTCTGCATTACCCCTTTTTTTCACCGTTTTTACTCGACCGACGTTGATGCCCCCTCCGCTAGAGCCGAACGGCTCCAAGCAAATTCGCATAAAATGGACACATATACAACTTATATTTACAAGAAAATATACTCAAATGTGTTAACTTTTTTTTAACTGCAAATTTGTTGTCCCTTTTTGAGATAATTTATCTTCATTTGGCTCCTTCAACCGATCGACTTTTTTCCATTTTGCGTTTTCATTCCCCCCTTTTTTTTTTATTTTTTTTTGTTCCATATATATCCACCTTTGTTACACATGTGTGTAAAGCAAAAAGTTTGAATTTTTTCCTACATTTTTAAATCATATTCGTAGAGATAAAGGTCTAATGCGGTTACTTTAATGAGCGCACATTTCCTTTTTATCACCACGTATATTTCTCTTTTTTTTTTTACATAACGTATTGATTCGTTTGGGACTTTACACCTATCCTTTCCATTTTCAAAACATCATCTTATCTTTTTCTTTTTTTCTTTTTTTTTGCTAATATGCCCTTTGTGGGTGTTTATAATGACGGGGGAGTCGTGGAGCACATTTGCAAATGGGCTGAAAGGAATATTGTAAGGATGAATTTGTCTACATTATTTCACCTATTGGGAAATTTTCTCTATCTGTATGTACAAGAGTACAATTGATCCCCCCATATGGCCATTTTGGCGATAAGCCTTCGATTCGTGTGTACGCCTTTTCGTCCTGTTCTGTATGTACACCCTTTCTATTGAAGCTCTTCTTCTTCGTTAGCTATATCTAACACCACATCGTTTTTGCTTAAATAAATGTGCATAATTTCACGAAAGGGAGAAATGGCTCAGAAAAATATGTGAGTAAAGGAAAAACGTTCCATTATTAGGATGTCAAATGGTAAAACCTTTTTTTGTAATTATAAAGAGGCGTCTTTAAAGTCAAGTGAAAAAGAACTTCTTCAAATTTGGGAGTAAAAGACAGAAAAATTCTTTGTTCTTTTGAGGGATCACAATTTTGACGACACTTAATTGGGGGAATGTTTATATATTTGTGAAGTCATGCGATTTTTTTTTATTTTATTATTTTTATTTATTTTTTTTTTTTCTTCCTTTATAACTTTCATCTAGGTCAAAGGCGGTGGACAGGACGGAGGGATCCCCACATTATCGTCCAAAATGGCCACGTCTACATCGAAGAAAATAGGTCCTTATGAGGTTATAAAATCTATCGGGCGGGGATCATTTGGAATTGTCACGGCAGTAAAGAACGCCGAGGGGGAAATGTACGTGCATTGAGGGTTTGCCCTTGTAGGGAAGTGCCATATGTTTCGTCCGCACATTTGAACGTGCTTCGTCTGTTGAACGGGGCGACTGGCGATTTTCATGTAAAGATGAGCTCCGTCGAGGACGTGTAGACTCAGCGCGTACACATTTATACATGTACCGATTTACACATAAACACATTTTCGCGCCTATGTGTGTACACTCACGCTCAGCTTCGTCGTTAAGCAGCTGGACATGTCGTGCATGAATCACAAGGAAAAAATGAACGTTGTTAACGAGCTGCGAGTACGCATTCGGAACGACTGAGAGAGGAAAGAACGCGTGAATGCATATCGATCTGTTAAATAGGGGATCTTGGGGAGATGCAGGGGGGTGTTGCTTATCCGAATTTGTATTACTTAAGCATGCGTTAGTTTTTATAATATTTCGCTTTTTTTCTTTTTTCTTTTTTTTTTTTTTTTCCTTTGCTCTTGTCCAAGGCATTAATCGAGGTGTCCGTGCACCCATTCATCGTGCGATATAAGGAAGCGTTCCTGGAGGATAACATTTTGTACGTCACTATGGACTTCTGCTCCAGTAAGGCCTTTTTTTCTTTACACACTTTTTTAACATTACTGTCTGGAAGTGAATGTTTGCAATTTATGGCGATTAACGCCTGACCCACTTTTTTTTTTTTTTTTTTTTTTTTTTCACGAAATCTATATATATGTATGCACAACATCGGGGGATTCCCCTTTTTTCACTTTTCCTTTTTTTTATTTTCACGAAATGTAGAAGGAGATTTAAGTAAATACATAAAAAGGTATAAAAAAACGAACACGTTGATTCCCGAGAGGAAAATAAAAAGATGGCTCTTACAGATCATTACTGCGATCAAATTTATGCACGACAGGAAACTTATACATAGAGGTAATTAAGTGCTTCACTCTTCGCTTACATACACGAGCGAAATGGTTGTCCAAATTATGTGGGAAAAAAAAAACAAAATTGCCGCTTACGATAAGGAGCTTATCTTTTACTCATGTCAACATTCCTCCGCTTGGGATGATGATACTCCCTTTTCAGACGCTTCAGAGTTTACGCATAAAATAACTTCCCCCCCTGCCCCTTCTTTTTAAGACTTAAAATGCAACAACATATTTCTTGATGATGAAGAGAGGGCTAAGGTGGGCGACTTTGGGCTAGCCAAAATTTTTGAGAACACAGAACAAACAAGTACATTGTGTGGGACCATTGGGTACATGGCTCCGGAGATTTGCAGGGTGGGTCCCCTTCGCTTTTGCGGTTTATTTGTTGCCGTTCACATAGCGTAGAAGTTTTATCATTCGGCAGTTCGTCATTCGGGGTGTTACCCCCCATTTTGTGTTCCCATTGTGTGTGCCGCTTTTGCTTCCCCAATTTATCCTACCCTTCTGCGCCGATTCTCCCCCAGAACGTGGCCTACAGCTTCCCCGCGGACATCTGGTCCCTTGGCGTGATACTGTACGAGCTCATGAGCCTCCGGCACCCCTTCAAGTCGGAACATTCCAATATGTTATCGACAGCCCAGAAGATTTGCGAAGAGGAGGTGCGCGCAGCGGCGAGGCAAAACGGAAAAAAATGTCCACAAAAATGCCGCAAATATGGCACAAAAGTGGCACAATATTGCGATAACGTTGCCCTTAAGTTATGACAAACTTACCAACTCCGTGGAAGCAAAAATGCAACAAGACCACCCACTTCTAAAACATTGCCCCGCAGCCAGAGCCCCTGCCAACCAGCTACTCGAACGACCTGATACACTTGTGCCATTGGATGTTAAAAAAGAACTCCGAGGATAGGCCTACTTCGTGCGATATTATCGCGTCCGATTATTTGCAAGTGCGGTGATGTGCTTCCGCGTTAAGCGGACCCAATATTGGGGGTGCATTCTACAGAGAAAAAAAAAAAAAAAAAAAAAAAAAATTCTCTTCTATTTTACAGACGGAGGCACATTTACTAAAAAGAGAGATATTAAGCAAAAGAGGAGGGGCGAAGTAATTTTCTAGAGTATCGCCACACCTGTATGGCACTCAGTGGAGACTTTTTCACCCCATGGTGAAGGGGTACATTTGTACAAATCGTTTGATGTGTCCTGCCCTGTTAAAACAGCATAATGCGGGTGCCCCCTATTAAAGTAGCTGCATCGCATGAAGCAAGTGTTGCTCCTTCTGACATTCGTGCAACCCATTCCAGTAGTAATACGAAACAGAAATGGTGTAAAAATTTAAGTTCGACAGGATCCACATCTTATACTTGGTATTGCAGTTTTGTTTCATTGTGTAGTGTACAGCGTCTCTTGAGTCCCCCCCTTTGGTGAGCACTAAGATGTAGTGTGTCCTACCATTAAACTCGATGGCGACATTTTTTTCCTGATCATTTTTACGCAACTTGATGTACACATCTAGAGGAATTTTTTCCTTGGTTATGTATTCATAGATTGCATTGCCGTAGTGTTTCCTCAACATGTGAAATATGACACTCTGGCTAAAGTAGTAATTTTTGCCCTCCTTTTTGAGTATAATTTTATTTTTAAAAAAAAGGGTTAGGTAGCTTATCTGGTGGGATAAATCGGAAAAGTCGTAAGATACTTTGTTTGAAAAGAAGTAGTGAACACTTCTGCTCTCAAAATTTAGGATTGCCAGATCGATCTTTTCTCTCCTTCCTTCACCTACATTTTTTATGAATCCATTCAGCAGTATGTCCCACCCTAACAAAGTGTAGTAAATTTTATTCGTTGTGGACTTCTTAAATGTTGTCTTATCCTTTTTTTCTTTTAAAAAGTTGACGTAAAACTTCATCAGGGGGAAGTTAAAGAGGCCAACAATGGACGACACGAAGAAGAAGTTGCAAACGTCGGACATGTGTGTCGTATCCTCTGTGTCGCCACTTAAAATGTGATGCTTGCAACAGGCATATAAGTACATATTTTTGTCAGTCAGTTCTACCAACGTTAGCAGTTTGAGGTAGCTATCAAGGAGGCCTCTTCTGCATATGTGGGGGGAGTCGACGTTGGCCCTTCTGAAAGAGCTAACCAAATGGGACACCAATTCAAAGTGCACAATTTTGGAATAGTACATCGTGTTGATGAGTTTGGAAAGGAGCACCACGTCGTTTGGCATCAACTTGCTTGGTGATGCCCCCTTTTTTGCCACTTCCAAGTAAGAAGTCAGAAAATCTTGTACGCCCCTTTCACTTATCACTCCGCATTTCGTTACTAAATAGAAAAAATTAGCTAGCTGGGCCAGTTGCACACTGTCTAATAGGTCATAATTTAAATTCTCCAATACCTTCCTCATGAGATTTATTTTGTAAGTGAATATTTGGTGATATTTCAAATTGTACAGTTCTTCGTAGTGATAAGCGATGGTGGAATTTTCTCCACACTTGATCACTTGGTTGCACCTACTTCTCAAAGTCTTCATGTTGTCTGCATAATTATGTCTACCCGAGTGAAGATAAATGAAGTTCAATTTTGGGACCCCATTTCTCCTGTGTAAATTGAAGAAAAAATGGAAAAATTCTGCGCAACAATTTAGTATTAACAAATAGTTGCTTGTTGTGTACATCCAGAGGCAGTTCATCAGATGCCCCATGGAAACTTTAAAGACAAATACATAGCATGCGTTTAGGTTTAGCAGGTTGTATTCGCGGCAAAATTTATCATGTAGTGCTCTATTGGAGGGATGTTTTTGAGACACTGAACTGTCATATTCTTGATCCATTTTTTCCATTTTGCAACCATGTTTGTTTTCTTTCCCTCTCAAGAGATCTCCATCAAGGGGGTGGAGGCTGCTAATTTGCTTATAAATGGCTAGCCATTTCTGCTCATTGATTCGCATATTTTTTAACATATAGGACATTTTCACTAGGTTCATGTGTATGCTTTTTAATTTGTCCTCTCTATCATAAACCGTTTTGAAGTTGAGTAAGTTTCCGTTTTGCTCATTTTCTTCTGCTATGCATTGTTCCATGTAGAGGAGCGTCCTTTCTATCTTCCTGCTTTCCGCATCTATTAGATTTTTTTTGGCATTGCTGAGCGTTCTTCTGAAGGCGTTAAAATTAGTTGTATGTGAAAAAAATCTGGGAAACCCCTCCACGCACTGCAGCATTGTTCCGTTTTGGGAGGACTTCAAATGGGAATTACTCTTCAGAGTTGAACACTTTTGCGGTGGGAAGTTTTGGATACCTTCCGATCATCTTATGCGCTGTAAATGGGGTTCTCTGTTTTACTTTCGTTTTGCCTTTATTCTGCCTTTGCTTTGCCTATGTTTTGCCTATGTTTTCCCTCTGTTCTTCCATTTGGGCAGTCCTTTTTGTCTTGTTTGGTTCCTGCTATATGGGGTTTTACCACATCAACAGCGCGAAGGAAAATAGGAGCCCAATTCAGGTTGCCAGCCTTACTGAGTCATATTACGACGTTGTTACGTTTCTGCTAGACCTTTTGTGTTATTCCTTACGAGAAGCCCTCATCATGGAAAAGAATTCCCAGTCACCTCTCTTCTTAGCACGTCTTGGCGTAGTTGCTTTGTCCCCCTCAATGTTCGCATGCCCCTAAGTTTGGCACGCTGACCGTCATGTAAACAGTTTCTTCCCTTTGTGCTGACCATTTTGGTACTTAACATACGGTACGTTACTTTATAGTGTTTAACTGCAGATGTGCTATTTCCGTTTGTGTAGTGAAACTTGGCACATTCTTGGGAGTATGTATGACTGTGGCTACTCCTTTTTAATGGCACATCTGGTCTTCCCCCTTTTGTGCCTGTGGGCTTTTTAACTTCTGAGAGATCTTGTCCCATGTGGTATGTCAGTTTCCCAGTTTTTCTGTTGATTCTTCAGTATATTTTGGGATTACATTTGGTCATGCGCGAGGGGACAGAGTGGTCATTGCGTCATGCTGGGAAGAGGTACCGTCGTAAGTATACCTATCAACTGGCGTGCTATACAGGGATAAGTGGCTAATTCCTGGGGTATTCCCTACATCGCGTAAAATAAAACGCACGACACATATTCATACCTCTGGCTTCTTCCCAGAGGAGAGCGTTACACTTGCGGTGACTGCTCCCAATCGTGGTGAGCAATTGGATAAGGACCATCGATGCGGGGAAGATACCTGTATGTGATCGAGTTCAGCCCCTAACGAATTGACATTTGGGTAATCTATACGAATATTAGCCAGTAGGTAATTTTCCCTTGGTTAGGATTCACCCTCTTGGAGCTTCCCCCTCTTCCTCATGAGGATCATTACACGCATTAAAATGGATTAGCTGTAACATGCCGCCTGACATGGAAACAAAAAAAAAGAGTGGAGCCTCATATGCGTCGAAAGATGAACCGTACGAAACTGCAAGATGCGAATTCTTTTTTTTATCTTTGCTTTATTCATAGCAGATTATATCAATGGGAAGAGAGCAGATAGTAAGCACGGGGAGGGGGAACTGAATGGAGATTTTCTCCTCCTACACAAGGCGGACATCACCGCCGTGGTGTTCGCGGGCCATAAGAAGGAGGAAAAGAATGTGCTAAGTGAGGTTTTCCAAAATGAGGGTACGCACCATAGAGGTCCAAAGTCAGAGGAGTACATTTTACTAGACAAGCAGGTGGACTCGTACGAAATGTTAAACATTCAGTGTACATTTAAAGTACAGAAAAATTTCGATAAGACAAAGTTGGTCATTCTTTTGGTAAAGCAACTGGAGAAAGAGTGTGTCCACATGGAGGGTAAAAAATATGCGTGCCACAGGACAGTGCAAGATTTAAAAGAAGATGAAACGTTTATTTTTACCAACGAGCTGGAGGAAAATTTAGTTATTTCGAAGGTGTCCTTTTTGTTTGTTAATTTGATACCGTTTGATGGGTACTACATATTTGACCTCTTAATAACAGATGGGAGTAATTTTGTAAAAATCCATTTCTTCAAAATGTACTTACATTTTTTTAACCACTTACCGATCGTACAATACCCTTTGGGCGAAAAAGAAAACGCCGTAGTTCGGAGCATCATGAGAAAGGAACTACAAAGACGAGACCAAATGTATACACATAAACACGTGGTACGTGAGCAGAAGGATTATTACCCTTTTCCTATAATTCGGAAAAGAAACATAATTTGTGGAAAGGTTAAACCGAAGAGGGTAAATCCAATTATGCCCATGACACTCGTCACTCTGTTATTTCTCCTCTTTTTAATCCATATGTATTTTATTTTCCTCCATTTGAAGTACAACATGAAGAATATGAACATCAATTATTTTAACTACGCTTTTTTGTTTTCCTTTGTGTGTGTAATGCTTTCGTTTATTTTGTATGATTTGTTTTTTAACCTCCTTGAAATGCTTTATATTTTCCCCTTCGTGTTTTCCCTTTTTTTGGTATTTTTTTACAAAGCTTTGAATGCTTTGCGCGAGTACAGGAAAGGCGCTTCCTCAGCGGATAAGTTCAAGCGGTGAGGAAAAAGAGAGAGAAAAAAACAAAAACGTCTTGCACATTTTAAAATTAACCCGATTTACGACTACTCCATTGGTCCTTTTGGCAAATGCGGGGAACTTTCCAACATGGGTTTCTCCTACTTTAGCTGCGACGCTATTTTCCCCATTTTTGCACTTTTGCAAAATGCGCTTATTCGTTATCAGAAAGGGGTTTAACTTTTTCATTTCACGTTTTAATTATACAAAAGCGGTTCCTCCACACAGACGGTTTGCGCACGTAAAAGGACCGCTTCCTTAATGAACACAAATAGAGAGTGAGCAACTGACGGAAGTGAAAAGTAGTGGTTAACAAACAAGGACCCGTGTGCGTGTGAGGGGTGTACACCACCTGTATAAAAACAGCTAACAAACGAGCGAAGAGACATTAACGTAAACATAGGCGTGGTCCAAGCGACTTTCCGTGTGCCTATATATCAGTGGAGCACATTGCGACTGTTCTTGCTCTCTGCCTGCACGCGCATAGATAGGTTCATGTGTGCGTGCTCACGTGCGCGCTGCGAAAATCACACTACGGCAAGGAAGCATGTAGGGGCCACACGGACGCTGCGGTGTATTTTGAAAAGAACAAATACTGTGGGGGGTATGGAAATAAAAGAGAGAAAAAAAAAATACATAAATGTGTGCGAATAGATGCGTATGAATAAATGTGTGCGCATAAACGAGCTCACATAAACGTATGTACGTGTACATATGTGCATGTGCGTAGTATACACCCAGCTATCACTTAAAAAATGGCATTCTGGTGAAAGTTCACGTTGGAAATCCAAACGGATAGAGTAAAAAAGAAAAGAAGTTGATAAAAAAACCTAATTACAAAATGAGACACTTATGAGGTGTACGCTCCATCATGGCACAACACGTTTGTAGCATCCTGATATTCTTTTTAATTTTTGGGGGGGCTATCATGACATGAGGAGGCTCCCGTCCCATATGGAGCAAAAATGCGGGTGAGTCACAAAGAATCAATCATTTGCACACAAAAATGCGTCCCATTGGTAAGGTTATATGTACTCCTAACATAGGGATATTTACATAATCACATTTCCGCAGGTGTGCCCCTAATGTGCGCCCCACCAGGGCGCATCAGTTACTCAAAAAAAAAATCAAAATCTTTGTCTCCTTTATTTTCATTTTTTAATTTGTTCGTCTTTTCTTGATGGGTGAACATGTCCAAATGGTCCCTATGAGGATGACCACTGTTTGCATTTTTTGGACGAAACACTTCGAAAGAATTGTGTTTGTCTCCATTTATTGCATTACAGTGTATATTTCCTACATGGTTTTTTACAATCCCAATTTGGCTATCCTGATTATTTAAGCTTGTGTTAATTTTATTTTTTTCTGAAAAGGAAATATTTTTCGAGTTGGAAAAAAGTCTGGCAATACATTTTTTTGCCGCTTGCACTTTTGCGTCTCGAAGTTCTTTCTCCGAAAGGCAGCTGAAACTACCGAAGTCTTCTTTCTCGCTGAGTTTAGATGGTTCGGCTCTCCCTCCGATATTGGCCATGCTGCTGCTTAGGACTTTGTTTTGGCTGTTACTGGGAGTGATGCTTTGGCTATTGTTTTGGCTATTGCTTTGACTGTTGCTTCGGCTGTTGCTTCGGCTATTATTCACATGGTGTCCACCTCTGGCGTTACCATTTCCGCCTGCGCCATCACTATGAGGGTTCAATTTTTTGGCTTCTTCCAAGTGAGAAGAACTCTTGTCCCTATTACAAACGTCATTACCCTTATCTGTGTGTTTCACGTCCTTCGGAATGTTCATGTCGACTGAGTTTTTATTTGTATTACCCACATTAACAAAGTCGTTGAAAAAATAGGAATCCTTGGACGGGTTCCCGCTATCGTTATTGATGCTAGTGCAATTATTTTCCCTATAGGGGATGTTGTCAAATGAATAAAAATTATCATTCATGTATGTTTTTTTTTTTACGGGTTCCTTCTTTGTGTGCTCAGTCAATAGGCCTGTTTCCTTCTTATTGTTGCTACTGCTCTTTTTATTTCGCATAGTCTCTTCTGTTTTTTTATTATCAAATATTTTTAGGGAGTCGAAAATGTCTAAGCTCCCTACATTCTGCATTATTTTTTCTCTGTAAAAATAGGGGGGAGGTGGAGAAACGTGTGCTCTCAGTTGGTGGCGCCCCTATGGCACGTTTCTTTTACTCTACACGCATGTGCACAGGGATCTCTTTCCGCGCATGCACATTTCATTATTTTTCGGTGCGCTTTTGTTTTCTCACTTCACTTCCGCCTGCGGGGAGGCCAGCTGTGGGAGGCAACTTGTGGGGTCCACCCCTATGAGACAGAAGAGAAAGGCGCACGAGTGGACAGAGTTGGAGCATACGGGCAGAGGCACATTCACCTGCGCATATTTAAATTCGCGTATTTACATGGGTATATTTAGGTGAGCCCATTTGGAAATATGCACACAGTGGCTGACGTGCGCGGGTACCTTCCACGTAGTACTGGTAGGGCTCCTTCCTATTCGCCGGGGCGTACAACTTCTTTTCATACTTATTTTTTATCCAGTTTTGCATAATTCTGCGCGTGGGGAAGTTGCACACGTTCGTTTGAATGAACAAGGGTATATGTAACCACGTGCCAGGGGAATCCAGTGGTAGGTATTTTCGTGGTCGCCCATGTTTGAGGGGAATGTGCACGCGTACACATATTAATACACATATGTCATCGACGAATAGGAACGCGCTCCAGATGAACAACATCTTCCATGTGCAGGTTGCGTTTGCAGATTGGAGGGGGAAGAGGCACCCCTGTCACATATAAGCCGTGAAAATGTTAAGCAAGAGGCCAAATGTATGTAGGCTGTCTAACGAAGAATAAACATAACAGGTGGCTACCCCAATGGCCTCTTATATATGTGCCAACTCCATCTCATACTTACACTGAGGAATCTCCTTGCTTTGGTCTGTAGGCATCCGCGGGTAAGTTGTATAAGTAGTAGGAGTTGGACAAATCGTTCCCTATGGTCTTTATGCACTTCAGTTGGAAGAAAAGGGGAAGAAAAAAAACAATAAAAATAATGAGAATGGGATGAGGAATAGAGCGAAAGGAATGGTAGCAACGCGAAGAAGAGAGGGCGTCAAGAGGTCATCATAAAAACAAGTGGCAGCCATTCGGGGAAAAAAAAAAAAAAAAAGAAAACGAAAGAAAATTGTAAAAAGGAACTTTTATAAAGAAAAATATAAATAGAACAGTTTTATGGGAAAAGAAGAAAAAATTACATGTATCCATTGTGGCATAATTTTATCCAACGTTAAGGACTTCACTTTGGAAATGTGAACACCTAAATTTCGGTGAATTCCTGAACACTCTATGCATATCACGATGCCCAAGTTGATGCTTGCCCACCTTGGGCACTTGGCCCCGCAGTCGGCACATTTGTTGTTTCCTTTTATTTTGGTAAGGTTATCTATATCACGTTGGTAGGAGTTGCTGGTCTTGCTGGCCATAGGCATCCTGCACCACGTCTTGTGAGCAAAAGTCTGTCCCCTTGGTGGTGGAGTGTTTCTCGTTCTTTCTGATGGTGTAGACCTCTATGCAGGCACGTAGACGTAAGCATTTGTGCATATGCACATATGTATATACTTACGTAGGTTATATGTATCTACATGTTCCTTCGCGCGAAGCGGAGTTAGCGGTTGCACTCACACCTGCGCTCGAGGTTCCGTTCAATTTTGTATGTGCTCCTTCGCGGAGACTAATACACACGTGCGCATGGAGGTGCCGACATACATGCATGTGAGCAGCGTTGTGGTGTTATTGAGTCACCCGTTATTTCAACCAACCGTTAGCAATTTTTCAAAGCGCACAATATGCCTCTTTACCATAAAACGGTGTATGAGCTGTTTTGCAGCCACATCAAGGTGTACACAAGTGTATTACGCATTCGTATATCTCCACATAAATATAAACATATGTTTTTACGTATCAATTTGTGTATGCCCAAATCGTGTTAATTAAAATAAATGCTTCATCATTATAACTTTAACCACAGAAGTTTTTTTTTCTTTTTTTTTTCCCCACAGAGGAAGAAACTTAAATCATGTGTTTGCTTCTTTTTAACACAATTCGGTAATGTCGTGAGTTTGATGTTTAAAGTAGGTTAATTTATAGGAAGGTGGATCGCCACTGAGCAAACCGCTGGAAAAACCAAAATGGGGAGTGAACTGAGATGCTAGGCTATGCTGTGCGATGTGATGAGATGGTGCGACCTTGCAAAAAAATTGACTTGCCAACGATCACGCTTGCGCGAAGTCGACGATACGGGCATGCATACGTATATGTTCATATGTATACATATATATATGCGTAAGGTTTATTTAAGCGCATTCATATGCGACTTATGGCTGGCACCTGAAAGAGCGCCATCTGCTGTTAAGTTTTAACCTTTCCACCTTGCTCGTTTTGTTTTACTCTTTTGCCAGCACGCGTGGTGGGGGTAAGAAGAAATTTCCCACGAGCAAGACTGTTTGTCGTACGAGCGTGCTGCAGAGAGGGAGGGGAGAGGCTTGCATTTGCTTACACCTCCCGTACGCACGCCGGGAATGCGTACACGAGGTACACCCCTATCGCACATATATACATGTACATATGGAATGTAAAGATACCTATGCGCCTGCCTCCTCCTTTTCACGTTTCCTGCGCGCATGGAGAACCCTCCCCTTCATAGGGACACTCCTTTCACGAGTAATGGTAGCCTACGAACAGTCACAACAGGATGGGATTGAAGGTGACTCCAAAAAAAAAAAAAAAAAACAAAGACTTCCCAGTTTTAGCGGCATTTTTAGCATTACAGGACTAGGGGAATTCCTATCCTTCGATGAGCATTTTACTTTTTTTCTTTACTATTTGATCATCCATTTTAATGCTTGCCGCCAAGGCAGGGGGTAAAAATGCCGATCCGTTCTGCGCGTCCGTTTCCCGCCGTTAGGCCACTATGTATAGATAACCTTTTTAAGATGGTACAAAGGTTATCTCGCGCGTTTTTTATCCCCCGCGTGAGTTCCTTTCCCGTTGTTTAGACTCACTTAAGGGTGTTCGTTTGAGAGAGGTTAATGCGCGCGGACACAAACGCAACTTGCATGTGCGTTCTCATTTGCAAATTTTTTAGCGCTTTTGTTGAAATGCTAACAAACGACTTATCTAGGTGTGTGTGGTTACCGCAGCTGATTATGCGGAATGGGGTTTAAAAAAAAAGGGGGGGGGAAAAAAAAGGCAAACGGGTACCACTGCACATATAATGTGTATAATTACACACTAACTAGTACGAAACAACATATCATAGTAGGGGGCTTGCGTGTGTGTGATGAACCTGTGCACGCGTTAAATGGGAAACAACAATACAAACGTCTTGAAGTCACGTTTCAGTGGGCCGTTTCACCACCCCCCCAGTGCAAACAAAGCATCGTATGTGTGCGTAATTACGTGCACATGTGCGTACAAATATTACCACAGAGATGTGCACGTTTGAGTGGCTACAAAGTGGTGAAGCAGTGTGAGAAAGAATGCTGTGCTTCCCTTAGTCGGTTGCTTCCATGGGACGAACAAATTTTAATCGGTGTAATGCGCTCCTCTTTTGTGGTGAACAAAACGGTAAAGTGGGTTTTTTTCCCTCGCTGGGATTATGCCCCTTGTTATTACCACATTTGATGCGCTTTGTTAAAGGTAAAAATTGCTATGCAACTCTGCCATGGCAAGCAGAAATATGGAAACAGATTTAACCGCCTTAGGAAGTTGGCGCAATTTTGGAGTCCGCGGACGGGTAAGGTAAATCTTTCCCTCTTACAAATCGCGGAAGAAGGACTTTTTCTTGATTCTGCCCGATATATGCGAACTATCCATATGAATTGGATAAAAATGAATGGAAGAATTGTGCGATATGCTGGCAAAGAGTTTTTTTTTTTTGTTAGTAGCTAACTTTTCAACGCTGTCACCACCTTCCAGCCTGGCAATGGCATCCCCCATTTTGTTGGGTAAAATATGAGCAACCTTTATAACCCCATCAGCCGTGCCAAACAGGATTGTATACTCATCCAGCTTGACAAATGTGCTTATCATATCTTTGCTGGCTTTCATTTTGCCCTCCATGTTACCCCAAGGTTGTTTTGAAAAAATGGTAATATTTCCATTCATAGTTGTACACACAATTTTTGCATTATGTGCCAGTAAATTGGCGCACAAAAATTCATCCTTGTATTCTTCCGATACATTATGGGTGACAATTTTTTTTCTATTTAGAATATCAAAAAGGGCTAAGTAACCTCCAGAAGAAACGATGACAGATTTCTCATCGGAATTTAAAGCCATACTTGAAATGGTATCATCAAATTCTTTTATTTTGTGAATCGGTTTTTTCGATTCATCTCTTGCATCCCAGTGTTTTAGAATCCCCGTTTCGTCAGCCGTTAAAAAGGTATTTACACTTGTAAAGAGGATTGAGCACACGGAATGGTTGTGACATGTATTGGTCCAGATGAGCTTCCCGGTAATGTCTGTCAGGGAGCATTTATTGTCAGACGATGCTGCTAGTATTTTCTTCCCGTTACTTGAAAAGGAGACACAACTTACTGTTTTTTTGTGATTGTATATGTTCCATTTTTTTTCGAATTTCTTTTTTTCTTCCTTTAATTTGTATAATAATAAGTTCCCATCGAATAGGCCGGCACATATTACGTCCAATTTGGGATGAAATTCTACGTCAAAAACGGTTGACTCACAGTCGATGGACGTGTATACTCTACTCATTTTGTACGTGTCCCTGTTTCTTTAAGAGCTTCCCCCAGTGGTGTGTCTGGTGCATTATTCAGTGCTTACTGGTTATGGGGAATTCCTTCCTACGGCGGATCAATATCCCTTTTGATGTCGTACATATGTACACATGTGTATAGGGTTATATAACAGCACGTTGAAATTTTTCGCCACAGGGACTCCTGCTATTGTTGAAAGTCCTTTTCACGTGACGACTCCCTCAGTTAGGATTTCATCCTTCTGTTTATGTCTCCTATGCAAACAAGTACGGTTTAGCTCTAGACCCATCAGCATTACTGCGCAGCGTCCTTATTATACTATGTAAGCAACTTCGGCATAGTGGCCCGTGTATTCCTTCCCCCACTTCTGTGAGCTTCCCAGTGAGGGAAAAAAATCAACTTGGTTTCACAAAGGAGGGGCTAAATTTGACCGTTTAAAAGGACTTGGGGTAAAAAATGCTACGCTAAGTACAGCAAAGCAGCAGTAAAATATGTATTCATCAGTGGCTAGCTGGAGAGCTGCAAAGGGGACCCTTCCCAATAATTTACAAATTGTTGTTTTTAAAAATGTTTTGGGAAAGAAAAAACCAAATTGGATACAAATGTACCACAAAATTTAGTAGATTTTTCCGCTTCTTTTTTTTTTTTTTTGGTGAAGGGGGAAAAAAAAGGCTGCGTAAAGTACAACATGGATCACTACGTTACACTAGTCCCTTGGCGTTCGCTCAGAGCAAGTGGAAATTTATCCCTTAAAATAAAGCAACAAAGTGGGTAACCGAATGTATATAGTTTCCTCCCCAATTTGCGTCCGTACTTGTTGGCGAATGCATGACTGATGGGAGGGGCCCCAAAGCTCGCGCCACTTTTGTTCACCAGAGGAGAGGGGTCCTCTCATCCATAACCATTTGCAGTGCCCGTTTTGAGGTAAACTAAGGCATGGGACAAGTGGCCGACTTTAGTGAAAGCATTGGTAGGTGCACGTGTAGGTAAATAATTCTATGTTTATGTACGAGCGGAATGCTCATCTTCATGTGTGAGGCAAAAATCCCGGAGGCCGCTCACCAATTTAGCGTCTCGCGCGAAGCCAGACCCAGGGGCGAGGAGAAACAATTTTGCGCGAAACAAACCCAAGAGGGAAGAATTCATTGCTTCATGGATTACGCAGCTTTTATCTTCCTGGCCGAAGGGATGAGATGTCCTAATTTGCGCATATTTGCAAAGGTAAAGCAATGCAATGCGCAAGTCTAGGATCAGTGTAACTTGTGTACATATGTGCTATATTATTGCCACGTATCTGTGTGTTCTTTACATGGCGATTCGTACACCCCACAGATGGTAACACTTGGGGTGTATATTTCTGCCACAAGTGCGCAACTTTTCTTAGTACGAAGGGTTGTATATTGGCAATCTGAAGTTGGCCTTTTTTTTTTTTTTATCATGCGTTCGTGTTGGGGAGAGGGCCACCGCACGGTAGAGCTGTTTTTAAAGCATTCCTCTGATAGGCGTATTCGTGTGTGACACTTTCTTTTGCGCAGCTTTTGTGTAAACATTGGGGAAGGTCCCTTTTGATACACAACATGCCGCATTGCCACATCGGGATGCAGGGCAAACACAATGATTTGAGAGGTACGTTTCAACCGCATTGCCCTGGTTGAGATAGGCTACACCGCAGAATTGGGGCGTCTCCCACCAGTATGGTAAGTCTCCACTGTGTGGTAACTCCCAACAGGGTGGTAACTCCCGACAATGTAATAACTCTCCACTGTGTAGCAGTTCGCCACTCCATAGTTCCCCACACTGTAGCGCGTCACCATCGCGGCGGGGGCGATACTTCCCCGGATTGAAAAAAACCAAAGACGCCGCACTGAGCGAGGTGCCCACAAGAATGGAGGGAAAGGACAGGAACAGGACGAGCGACGCGAACCTGTGTAAATACAAAAACAAGAAAATAGTGAAAACAATAGATGACATAAACGAGTTTGTAAAAACATACCCTCGAACCAACAGAGAATTAAATACGTACATTATCAAAAAGGACAGAGGAAGGGAAGTGTCTCTTTTAAAAAGTTTCGTTTTTTATATATTTACCCAAATAACGAGCATCCTAGCTATATGTCTGGTCATATTCTGCATTGGCTTCTTAATTGGGAATCACATTTCATCCAAATCGTCCCTAATAAATTCAGTCATCGATAATTTCTACGCAGCAAACGACATCGGTGCGCAGTTGTACGTGCAAACGGTTGCCAATCCGAATGATGGACAGGGGAGTGAAGTGCACCATGCACTGGCACTAGACCTAATAATCAATTTTAACTTTGACTATAATAACCTATTTATGGGAACGCTCATCGGAAAAGTTTTATTGTATTACTACCCAGCTAATGACATTGGTGTAAGGGATGAAGAATACTGTTATTACAATGGTAAAAATAATGCAGTGGCACAGTCCATGAGGAATCCAGGGAGGCAATTTCCCAAATGGCAGAAAAATGAGGAAGAACTGTTTGACATTTTTGCCAAAGAGAACTCGCTAATTTTTTTAAATTATGCTATGAAAATGAAGAAGAAATCTGAGATAACATACATCAATGATTTATTGTTTGAGAATTTAAATGCCTACCCCATTGGGGGGGCAGACATTACCATATCTCCGGGTATAATGCAGGGCATTAATTCGATTAACGCGCTGGTTAGCATAAATCACCTAATTACAGATAAAACCTTGTTAAATCACTTAATGAAAGATTGTGAAAAAGGGAGAATATATGTACAGCTACACTTTGCGAGTAATCAAATAAAGACGATCTTCTTTCGCTTCCAACCGCAAACGGGGATTTTCTTACCCTTTAGAATTCTCTGCGAGATCAAGTCGCACGATAAAAGTCCGAGCAATGAATTTCGCCTAAGTGTTATTAAGAATTATAATGTCCAAAAAACGGCCATAAAGAATATTAACTTTTTTATCAATTAGCCCCTCAGTGGGGTCATTTGCACTCACAACGATGGTATGCGTGTAAATAGGCAAGCAGCGCATCCCACATTGTTGCTCCTCGTCGTTGGTCCGCACAGTAGCGGCGCGTTATTACTCCAGTGTGTTTCTCCACCATTTCTGCTACCCCCAGTTCATTCTGCAGATCAGAACCGACGTGTGTCTTTGTGTGCCTTTGTGTGTCTTTTCTAGTCCGTGGGTCCAGTTGCCACCGTGTTCATACTCAAGGGGCATCCCGAAGTGGACGTCGGAAAAGGTCCTCTTAATGGCCGCTGGAAATGCACGTTTTCAACTCCACCGTTCGTGGCAGCAGGAAGATTCCTTCCATCTGTGCCTCACCCCCTTTGTGTAACCATGGTGATGTGAAAGTCCACCCTTTGGCGGAACTCATTATGCCACGTTCGTTTCACCGAGTTGTGTGCAGAGAGGTACGGCGCTATTTATATGTGCCTACGCGTGAGTAAAAAAAAAATTGTACTGCCGCTTAGGCATCTGCATACATAGTTCCGCGTGCATATTTAACTGTAACACGGGGATGTGCCTTACCGTGGACTTTGGTCACACATTAATAGACCGTTTGTGCAGCGGGGTGAAGAAATCCTGGCTCAATTTATCCCCATTTGGCGTTTAACCTTCCAGAGGGGTAAAAAGGAACGGTGGAGCGATGGAACATGCAATTAAGTGAAGGTCAAACACAGCGAAGTAATTCACCATGTATAAGCCATTTCTCCCTTCGTCTTCAGCGCCCATGTGATATACTGCTTGCATTGATAACAGTTCGGGAGGGGATTCCCCCAATGACCTTGCGTCAAAATCACACTTGTGTTATCACCCCGTTTTTTTTTTTAATTTTTTTTCCCTTTAACCTTTGCCACTTGCGCGGAGATTATACAATTTTTTTTTTGTACCCTTTTAAGGAGAACGTAAAACAAATCAGCACAAAAAGGGGACCCTTTTGACAATTTGAACTGAGAGGGGGACAGTCCAAAAGGTACACTGATGTTTGGCCCACTAGTGCTAAATGATGCTGCGCAAAAAAAACGCAGCAGAGGCACGCGAAGAAGTATGAGCAGCCGATGCATATGCGTATTTCTCCTGCCAAATGCTGTTGAAGGGGGAAATCATTTTGCACCCAAGCAGGTGTCATATATGCTAGTTGTGCATACATTTGGAGGGCTATTTTTTCTCCATTTTGTGTTCCCATTTTGTGTTCCAATTTTGTACTTCTTTAGGTGATGTTTTTATATACCCCTCTCTGGGTACGTACAAACACTGTTTTGTTTTCTTCATGGGGAAACATAATTTGGGGGACTATACTCCACGTATTTGTTAATATTTCTTAAGAGTATACAATCATTTCTTGCTGTGCGAGAAGCACCAAGGGGTGCACGAGAGTAGGGCGTATTTGTGTCCCTATCTGTATGCACGTACGTAAAGGCATGGGCCAGGTATTCACATGTGAAGGGGTAGATATCTCGTTTTATGTCGAGTTCGTTTGGGAATCTCCAAACTTGATCGAAGTTTACTGTAGGAGGAACGAAGCCCATTGTCAAGCATTTGTTTTTTTAAATCTACTTTAAGGTTTTGCCATTTGGGCGTTCCATTTTTTTTTTTTTGTTCCACAACTGGTACTACGGGAGGTGCCTGCCATGCTTTGGACGTGAGGGACGATCCGTTAGGCATCTTCGCATGGTGGCACGGACTTCTGGTTCTGTTTGCCCACGTTCGGCTATATTTTAGTGCTCCCCGTTGGACTTGTTTCACCCCCGAAATATGCCCATAACATGCTTAGGGGGGACGAATTAAAGGGCGAGCTAACCAGTGGGGCGGACAATGACGAACTGGTTACAGCGAAGCAACTCTTCGTGACGCATTTGAAAGTGGACGAGAGGACCAAGCAGCTTTACAGGCACTTCAATGTGGAGGAGTATGTGCTCGAGGTTATGCGAAGTAAGGGGGCGGAGAAGAAGGGCGATGGGGAGGAAGGACAAAGTGGCATATTCGAAGAGGCCAACGGAGTGGAAGGCGCGAATGGTAAAAATGGTGGAGCAGAAAACCCGAACGAGGCAAAAAAGGCAAATGACAGGAAAAACGCAAACGAATCCGATAACGCCAACGAAGCCGACAACGAGCACAGCGCGGGCGATGACACAGACAGTGAGCTCCCCAAAAGAGACGAACAGGCGTACAGAGAAGAACTGCAGTTTTTAAAATCTAATCCACTCCACCTGAGCAGGTGGTACGAATTTCTTGAGCTGTACCAAAGAGAAGAAGTATACGAACTGTTTCTCCTGATTTTCCCAAGGTGCACCTTATATTGGACTAAATATGCAGAACTGAAAGTGAAAAAAAAGGATTACACAGAAGCGTATAAAATATATCGCAGATGTATCGATGCGAATATCTATGATTTGAAATTAGTTTTCTCCTTTTTGTACTTTACCTATCACACTTCATCCATTCACGAGTACATCAGTTTTCTCTTTGACGGACTGAAGTGTGTAGGGATGGATATAAAGTCAGGCACCATCTGGGTTGAGCTCCTATACATACTAATAAAAATAAATAACACAAATTTGATTCTGAATAATGAGATTCCAAAATTACTGTTTGATCCATTTAAGAACATAAGCAGTAGAAAGAGGAATGAGGGGCCATTGATACCATCAGAAAAGGAGCAAGCCATATTTAGCTCCTCCATCCCAAATAAAAGTGGGAAAACGGTGACCTACACAGAGCATTACACAAGTGATGGGAAGCTTCAAAAGTTCTACCATTGCTGGTTTAATAATCCGACAAAATATTTAGATAAAGTGTGGAAGAACTTTTGCTCCTACGAAAAAATCATGACAGATAATTTTACCGTCAGCTCGTTAGGAAGCTACAATACGCAATATTTAAATGCCAAGAATGCCTATGGAGAGTTATATGCCCTTTACCAGGAATTAAATCTCGACAGGAAATTCAAAATTGATAAAAAATTTAAGTTAATCATACCTATTAGCAGGAAATATAAGGTAGAGAATCGTATTCTTCTTCGCAGGTGGGAAAAGATTATCAACTTTGAGAAAGAGAATCCTCTGAAGTTGAGCCTCCCCCTTGTACGGAAAAGAATTATGTATGTCTACGAACAGGCCTTGGTCCATTTACAGTTTAATGCTGATTTGTGGTTTTCCTACTTCCAGTTTTTGCTACTAAGTAAGAAGTTTACTTATGCCATTAGGATTATGAGGGAGGCCATCGAAGTTTACCTTCCCTTTGACGAATTGTTGAAGTTAAATTTCGCTTACTTCTTCGAAAGGCACGCGTTAATAAATCAGGCTCACTTCGTCTATCAGCTTATGCTTTGTGAAGTTTCCAAAAAGAGGAATCAGTTTTCTCTGCCCTTTTTGCACTCCAAGCAGGGCTTTAGGAAGGGGTCTTTCGGCCTTGTGAAGAGCAGGGCAGGCAAGAGGAAGAGAATGGGTGCAGCAAAGGGGGGGACGCGCAAAAATGCTGAATCCAGTGAGACGGATGGCCGCAACAGAGGGAATGACCCGCATAATAGCAGGACCGATGAGGAAAGAAAGGGGAGTAAAAAAAAGGTAAAATGGGAGGGCCCATCTCGGGGTAAGGCAATCCCCACCGATGATATCTACAAACCGGGGAGCGACGATGACAGTGGAATGAACGAGCAGGATAATGAAGGTGCTAATGAGGAAGAGGATATTAACGACCGCGGGAGATACCGCGCGAGTGAACCGGGCAGTGGGACCCCCCAGGGGGAGGCGAGCCAAGCCCTCGGCGCATGCGAAGACAACATTAGGAGGAAATTTCTGCACTGCGATTACGAAAAGATTGAGGAAAGGAAAAAATATTTCATAAATTACATTAACGTAAACAAGAAAAAAAGGAGAGATTTCGTCTTCACACACTTTTTAAACTTTGTTAAAAGGAATTATGATGAAACGATATGGAGGTACTACACAGGGATTGTGCTAAGCGAGAAAAGGTGTTCCCAACATGTATACTACTACTGTGCAAACATGGAAAGAACAATTTTCAAAAATGAAAAGAGGGCCATATATATCATGAATGAGGGTTATAAGAAGTATGCATCGAACAAACGATTCCTCCTACTTTATGTTAAGCTTCTACTAGAAAAGGGAAACATTGAGGAGGTGAGATCTTTGATCTACAAATTTATTCACAATTTTTATGCAGATTTTTATAGCAAGTATGACAGGCAACATAACAGCAGTGGAAGAAAAGCCTCCAGAGCGAAATCGGGACAGGGAGAATTTAACCATTTCGATTCCAACTATGTGAAATTGTTGAGGAAAAAAAATAAAGCGTGCGATAAAATGTGGACTTTACTGATGCAACTGGAAACGCTCTACGGGGACATAACCAATTTGAACCGACTTTGGGAAACCAGATTGAAATATGAGTCGGGATACAATTTGGAAGAAAATAAAAACGTCCTCATCGATTTTGACAACGTGTCGAATGTTAACGAACGTATGTTTGTGGAAGATTCTACGCTGACGGACATCCTTTGCAAGGGGTATCTGGAAAACTTAAAAAAAAATGACATTGATAATCTGCAGTTTAAGGTGAACTTAATCAGTTCGCAGCAGTTCGGCGGGGCTCCTCTCAAAAAGACCTTCTCCTTTTTTCAAGTCAGTGGCGCAAATGTTTTTACCGAGTTGTTAACTCGAAATGAATTTGTGGTTAAGGAGCAGGGAGGGGCGAGGAAGAAGAAAAAGGCACTGTGCCAGGAGGCGGAGCAAGAGCAGGAGGACGACGTTGCGACACCCCCCCAATCGAAAGCAAATAAGGACCTTGCAAGCGAAAGCGACGTGAGAAAAAGCCGCATTGCAAACAGGAATGGAAGTCAAAATAATCAAAAGGGGAAAGAAGGCGCAGAAGCTATAAATAACGACCAGCTCCGAAACGCACCTTTGAAGAAAGAAAAAAAACGTTCCACCAAAAGAGGCACAGTGAAATCCACCTACGATTCGTTTAACTTTTTGGACTCGCGAACAAGTGGAAAAAAAAAAAAAACTAGCAATAACGTTGCGAGAAGCACCAATAATGTGGAAAGTAAGGCCGAAGAAAAAACAGACATAATAGCCGACACAATGAGTTGTATCAGTAGACCAAATTTAAAGAAAATGCTTCTGTACAAGCCGCTAGAAAATTATAAGCATTTAGAAGTTGATGGGGGGAAATTACACGATGAGAAAAACACATCCTTGAGCCAATATCCCTATTGTGTTAGCGACGTGAACGGAAATGACGACAGGGATTATTTCTTCAAGCGAGAATATTTCAGTATGCCAAATATAATAAACGACTTTTTAAGTTTGTTGCCTGAAGAAAATGCAGGCTTAAATGTGTCAGATAGTTCCATCGATTACTTAATTACGTCTCTGAAAAATTTGACCATCCCCAAGTTGAAGACATTTCCCTACGAGCCGATACCCGTGAAGGAAATCCTACAGATAAAAAACGAGCTGATTGGTTAACAAGTTTTATTGCTTCTGGTACTAAATGTTTTGAGAGATGGAGGTGGAGAAGTTGGGGGGAGAGGCGTATGCAAAAATGAGCACCTGTTGACGGGGGGGAAATGACCCGAGGAAGGAACTTTAAACACTTCGAAGATAGAGCTGCCCTATTTTATTGCAAAAAATAAGATGTCGCATATCCGTGTCAAGATTCGTAACCGTGTGAACGGCCAGCACGGTCCTGTCTTTTTGTGCTTTCGCTCGGCGGTAGCTTCCTTTGGCCGCCGCTTTGTTGTTTCGTCGTTTTGTTTTGTTACTTTTTTTTTTCTTTATTTCTGATCTTTTGCATTTCGAATGACTGCATTTAGAATTTTTCCATTTTGGAGTTTTTCCTTTTTGAATTTTTCCATTTTGGAGTTCTACCCCTTCGAATTTTTCCATTTTGGAGTTTTACCCTTTCGAATTTTTCCATTTTGAAGTTCTCCCTTTTCGAATTTTGCCATTTTGAAGTTCTCCCTTTTCGAATTTTGCCATTTTGAAGTTCTCCAACCCTCACGTCCATCCGTTATTCGATTCGCGCTACTGGTCCCTCGGACATAATTCAAAGATTAAAGCGTAAAGCATAAATCATAGAAAATTTGAGGCGCAGTGGTGATTAAAATGGAAATATACCTGTTTGCGGGGAACTTATGTTTTAGGAAAGCACCACCATGTGGAGGCAACAAATGAGCCTCCCATTATATCAACACAAGGGGCAGCAGATGACCCGAATGTAAACTTATGGGGGAATACATTCGTGTCTTTTTTGGCCTCACTCTTTACGCGTTCAAATTTGGAAAGTATGAATATTCTCTACATTTGTAAGAAGGCAAATCCGTAAGGATAAAAATGGAGGGGCTGCGCATATCTTCGCTCGTTCATTAAGAAGTTGGTCCAAAGAGGGCCTCATTTTGAGAAAGTAAAACTGGGTGGTTTTGTTGTTGCTCTATTTTGGCAAGTCTCTTTAATCTGGGTTAAAATGTGTGTGTTTGGGTTGGAGATAGAGAGGTTAATTTATTTCTCGCTACTTTATTTTTCATATAAAGAGAAAAAATGGAACTTAGCTCATCCGTGATCTATGCTTAAGGAGGCCTCCCCCTCTTCTGTGCCAAGTGGCCATTTTACCCACTGGCAGACGACGACACACTGCATGCACAACGACGCGCGCATGCGAATGAGAATATAATATATACATATTCATATGGTCGTACAACTGGTCTCCAATGTTTTTGAGGCTAAATTGGCAAAAAAATTGGCTAGCAGGTTGAGGCAAAGAATTGTTTCGAGAGCTTGCAAAAGATGACGTGCGCAGTTTTTCTTTTGCGTGCATGCCACGGGGTGGTGTAACTTTGGCGATCATACTTGGCTATGTTTTCATTGTTTGACTATTTCGCCGTATCAGCAGGAACTTGACCCACTTGTGAGTACTCCCGTGATGTTTTCCTTTTAACGGTTGCACCTTATAAGGCAGGGCTGGGCATTCATTTTGAGCAGTTTTTACCTGTTCAAGCATTATTACTGTCAGGATGAGCGGGAGGATGTCTAGCAAAAGTGGCCAATTTGCCCACTTCATTTTTTTCTCCATTTCTTGATTGCTTTAGGGGCATGCCTGCCGTTTCACGCACATGAAAGCATCCATAAATCGGCATATGTGCATGTGCACGTACCCAAGCCTGCATGCACATCCTCATTTGCTGGCGCATGTCTATGTGCAGCAACACATATGTAGAGCTATATGTGAACGCATGCTAACGCCACATTAAGCATAGAACAAGTTAGAATTAGAGCGTCTCCCGCTTTTGACTGCAACGGCTGCTATTCCCGTGGTTACTTCTCCCTATATATACTCACTTATTTGGCTCTTCTTTTCATTTTCTCCTCTTGGGAAAAGTACCAAAAAGAGTGTTTTTCAAGGCCAAGGTTGCAAATAATTGTTTCTCCACCTCTCTTTTGTTGCAGCATGTAGAAGCAGAACGACACAAATCATATTGCCTTTCGAGAGAAAACTTCCTTTTCGGTCGTGATTTTTCCTTACATGCGGGGCTTTCTTACGCATAAGGATATGTACTTAGCCAAACGGCACATGCGCAGTGCACGCATGTACAAGTGTAAAAAAGTACAAATTCACATAAGAGAGTAATTATCCCCCCACCTCTTCGGTTGGTCTTTTTCCAGTTCCTGTTTCGAGGCCACAACCATTTATATGGTTTTTTTTTTTTAAAAAGTACAAAATAGTGAATTTAAAAAATAAATTAAAAAAAATATATATTTATACAATTCTACAGATATAGAAACAAAAACAAAAAAGTAGTGTGCCTTTTCGTTAATTTTATTTTCTGTCAAATTTTCCGCCATCCACAATTTTTTTTCTCTTTATTTTCTTACCCCTGCTAAGTGAAGATATACATATGCATATAATCGTATATGTATGTAGCTCCGCGCGGATGCAAACTTCAGATGCATTCTTAACAATCCCGTTTTGCAACAAAATTAAATGAAAAGTTACTTACAAGTAAAGATTTAATTTAAAAATTAAAATTTTATACGTTCGTACAAGATTTTTTCTCCTCCACTTTTTTTATAATCAACGTGGTTATGAAACAGAATCATATGTTTTTTTTTTTTTTTTAAGCTCTCTCTCATTGTTAAGTTTTTATCTGTATAGCAATTAAAAGTACTTTATAGATTTCTTTGTTTTTTTTTCCCCCTTACACCACTTGTGTAAACGAGGGAATAACTCCTTTACAGAATAGAAGCCAAGAAAATAAAGGAGCCAAGTATATAATATGTACACTCAAAATTGTCTATAAAAACGATCCAATTTTGTTCTGCATCGCGCAGGAACGTATAAGTACTTCCAAAGGTTGCTTGTCACTCCTTTTCTTTTTTTGTTTTTCCCAAAAGAATAAGGGCACGAATGGGACAGTATCCATACACGCGTATATATGTACATGTGCCGAGAACCTGCCTTTCCCCGAGACGTAACTCTGCACAGAGAACAAATAGCACAGCAGATGTAATCCTTGGGTGTACTTCGCATCACCCCCTGACGCCCCTTGCACAAGAGAAAAAAGGAGCATTTTGTGTTTACTAGACATGTCCATAGATATGCTCCACCTAAGCGACACACGTTGGCGCGTCATTCCAGTTGGGAGAATACACACCGCGGATTAGAAGCAGGGAGAAAAGGGAGTAGTTAGCCCGGTTTTCCTTGTTTTCCTTGTTTGCTTCCTCGCCAGGATACTCTGCCCACCCCCTCGCACCGTACCCCTTCCTTTACGCAACCGCGTATCAACCCGACCGCTGCGTAACCTATCGCGCCAACATGGATTATACCCTTAATGATGACTGGATCATGAGGAGGAACAAGATATTCTGCGACGTCATAAACAATCTAGTGACGACTTTCTACGAGATTCAGTACAAGTTCTTCTTTGTTAGGAGTGAACTCATGCACATAAATGAAAGCATAAGTCACGTGGAGATACTCCGGACCATAGAGTATAACCTATTTCACGTAATCATCACATTCGTCATTGATTGTAAAGCCTTGTATAATCTGAAGAATGCAATCAATAAAACATTCCAGGTGTCCGATCGAAGTCGTGTTTCATACTATTACTACCTCTTTGAACATGAGAAGTTTATGGAATTATTTAAAAAGTTGGAAGCCTGTATGCTGGGGTGTCAGAAGTTAAACACTTATCTGTCGCACCAAATCGACAGACTGAAGAATAACATCGCTATAACGAAATGCAACCATGCATGAAATAGCTACGGAGGAAGCGTTCTCGTTGCTGTTACGCGAGCGGAATGGGTCTTCATCTGGGAGAGGCCTCCAAATGGTTAAAAGAGGCAGCTGTCCCAGAGGGAGAAGGAACTGGAGGGACCACCTAGAAAGTATGAACCAACAGAGGAATGACAAGACAAGGGTGAACAGAAAAAGTGGTAAACGGAGTTAATCGCCCGACACGAATGGAGACGTGGATGGCGGTACGGACCGCGACGCGGATAGCGAGACCTGGGGTAACAGGGGCCGCTGCACGCTTGGCACCCCCCTCCTAGAAGCGTAAATCTGCAACGATCCCCCACTTGTTTTAAAGCCTCCCAAACTATAAACGTGTGCACAAATTTGTTCAGCACTTTAGTTTGCACGTATGTTTGTGCACATATGCATATCAGCCCACGTGCATATATGTCTATTTTAGTTTTTACGAATTAATTTTTGTATTTTTACTATGTTTTCTTTTCCTTAATTTTTTTTTTTTTTTAATTAAATTGGCACTTTTGAACAGACAACTACATTTGTTCCATAAAATTAACCACTGTAATAAAATGTATATCTCCTTTTCCTCCTGGTGTCAACCACTGGGTCGAATTTCTGCATAAATATGCCAATGTTGATATGGATGAGCTGTTTTTCGTAGGGTCCTCCAGGAGGGATTACTACGAGCATATCAGAAGGTGTCCATATCATAGGGGTACTCCCCAAAATGTGTTATAAAATTCCTTCCTTTAACGGCTTCAAAAAAGGGAAAGAAAAAAGCCTAACATGGTTGCTCTCTTTTCCATATGCATATGGCAGAGCGATCCATGATTTGATAACTTCCTGTTTTAAGGGCTAAAGTTTACAGTTCTGTCCCCCCCACCCTTGATGGAAGGGCACAAGCGGCAAGCAATCCAAGCCGATGGCGCGAAGTAATTGTTGAATGTGGTAGGGTGGGTGGTGATACAGCAACAATTGCTCCTAGGGATCATTGAGCGGATGCTATGCACAGGGAGGAAAGTGCTATATATTGAAAGGCATCTGTATGTACGGACATGCATAAGGGCAAAGTAGAGGCTCACCTTATGTTGTCTATTACGACTCGTGAAGAAGAAACTGATGAGTCTTACGCACTCAGAGAATACATCTGTGCCAGGTTAACTAAGCTATATAAATGAGGATATGGCCTTTCCCAATACAGGTAATTTATATGGCAGCATGCATGCGTTGTTATGATGTATCGATAACACCTTATCATGGAACACATGTACACATAGAGTTCCCCGTTTTTGCTGCATTTGCAGTATTAGGCCACCCAGTATAGCATTGAAAGGATTTAACCGGGTGCACTGTGAAGTGAAGTTAGCCTGGAGTCAGACCAAAGGTGGCAGCCAAAAAGGCACAGTGGGAAAGCTAAAGCGAGCAAGGCAAATTGGGAAAGGCTCTTTAGTAGGACTTCCCAAGATCGCTACACAGATCGATGCATACACTACCAACTAAATTGCCTGATATTCCCAGATTGAGACTGGAAAACAATTTTTGCAGACCTGAAAAAGGGTTTATATTTACTGAGCCCTTCAAATTCCTGTTGGCTATTTCATAGCTAAAAAAAGACGCAAAAAATGCTGTCTTGTAGATGAAAATATAACAGGGCAACTTCCTCTTCAAGACGAAAGCAATAGGGACGTCTTCTCCCTACAACATGCGTACACTTCTGTGAAAAAAAAAAAAAAAAAAATGCATGACTTTTTATGGTTCATATACATAAGTGCCCTTACAAGAGGAGTAACAAATGACTCAAGTTGATCTTCTTCCATTAAGAACGACTTTTTTTTTTAGCCTCAAAAAAAATTTAATGGCCTTCCGGAAAGGACTGAAGAAATTATCGCTGCCTGTCAATATGCTTATTATGCTTATTCCTCTTTGTGATAATTCTTGTGATGTATAATGGAAGGGGAAGATTCAGAGGCGTTAGGAAAGAATATCAGCTGATGGGCGTGCGTCAAATTATTTTTTGGGGTCCTAAACCTGGAGCATATCTACACATGGTGAAGATGCTCTTTTGCCTGGTGAACGATTTCGAGAGGAGAAAAAGGAAGTGCCTGGAGTTCCCCAAGCGAATCGGATGCTATTGCATGTTCAGTATTTTCTAATAATAATTTTTTTTATTAAAAAAAAAAAAAGAAGGAGTAACAAAAATGGCTGCATATGAGGCAGTGCATGTAGAGGGGCTTCTTCTGCCCACGAACGAGCCAAGGTGAAGATGAAAACAAGCACGACATTGGGCACAAATGGGAACATGACCCCTGATGCAAGAAAAGGGTTCAGATGGTAATAATACTACAAAAGGGGCCTTCAGGGAACGGAGCCCCCAGCGGGCACGAAAATGCGGAAAATGGGGGGAACTCCCCTTCCCCTTCACTTCATTGATAGAGAAGTATAAATGTACGTAGAAATATGTATTGTACATATGTGTACATGTTCTGCTCCCCGGCACGGTGGCTAGTTGCCCTTGAGATAATCGGAGAGTTCATCGCGAATTTCCATTTCCCTGAGGGTGTACCCGATTATCAACTGCCAGAAGCAGATGTAAGTGAGCACAGACCCACTTACATATATTAATTCATTGGAGGAGTTTTTGTTAATGTTCAGTGTCATGCCTTGTATTACTAATTCTACAATTTTTTTTGTTGCATCGAGGACCAATGGTCCGATGTTGTCTGTCAGTGAACGTAGCTGCACATCTGTTAGTGACTTTATGTAAGAAAGTAAGTCGTCATTTAGAATGGTTTTATTTTCTTTTAATTTTTTTAACTGCATTTCTAAAGACTTAATTTTTTTTCGTAAAAATATAATATAATTTTTTGTGTTAATTATTGGGAAGTTATCGCTTTCGCCATTTTTGCCGCTCGTGTAGGATGCGCTGTCGGATGGTAATTGGTGGCCCTCTTCATAACTATACGGGTTACCATCCTGATCAGGGAGATCATCATTGCTAAGATGATCCTGTAAGTTATTACTGATTAGGGTTTCCTCATCAAGGTTTGGGCTCTTTTGCATGACTTCCCCATCTTGGCTCGGCGCTTGTTGAGTGCCATTTTTCGGCTCACTTAACTCACTTGCGTTGAGCGTTTCTTCTCCACTTCTCTTGTGAATATCAGCAAATAAGCCATAAAAGGATTTTTTCAAATTGAAGAAGTCTTCCTCCTTTCTGTTTATAATACTATTTTGGTCGTAGAGAGACTCATTAAGGCTGAGTCGATAATCTGCGTTCTTTATCATGTACCCCGTGAGGATAATTTGCAGGAGAAAGTTGTAAATTTTATCGTAAGTAATCAGAATAGAAGTTTCGATAGTGTACTTTTGAATATTTCCAATGATGTTAAAAATGATATTCTTTACAGCTTCTTTAACCCTTTCGGATGTGTTTTCAAAAAATCGGTTAATGAGCTCATTTGGGGGGATACTGGAAATTTTGTCAAAATATTTATTGTTGCTATTTTCGAAGGGTTTATTGTTCAAGGGGAAAAAGAGGGGGAAATCTTTCGTCGTTCTTTTCGCTGAGAAGATATTATTTATGCTTTCGTTTATTGAGGGGGGGTTGGAGGCAGGCCCATCGTTTCTGTCGTCATAAAATTTCCCAGGCGCGTTTTCGTTTCTGTTGTTCGCGAAAAGGAGATTTTTCCCTTGTGCCTCTTCGTGGTTGTAGGGGTACTCCAGGTGAATATCCCTCTTGTCCTGTGTGTTGCGGTGTGCATGGAAGTCGTGCGTGTCTTCGGCGTCGTAGGTGTCGTACGAGTCGTAGCCCTCGTCATCTTCATCATCTTCATCATCGTCGTCATCTTCGTCATCTTCCTCATATTCGTCAGAATCTTCTCCATCTTCTTCCCCTGTGCGATCGTCCCTTCGTTCATCTTTGTCGCCATCTCGGCTACCCATCTCTTCACCCATAGAATCGTCTCCCCCCCCAGGAGTACTGTTCATGGATCGTTTTTCCCTTTTCCGCACACTGCTATCTAAATCTTTCAATATTTCTTTCTTCCTCTTGTCTTCGTAATATTTTTTCCATTTGTCGTCTTTTTCACTCATTGGATTTTCTTCATTCTGCTGCTCATTTTCTCCTCCATCTTCAGTATCATTTGAAAAACTGTCCTTTCGAATGTCATTACTGAATATTTTAAACTTGTTCAGTGTCAGGAGGGATTTGCGGTTTGCTCTCAACAGGGGAACGCCGTGGTTGGGCACTTCACTTGGTAGGTGGTTGATCTTGTGGTGCTTCAAAATGAAATCTTTTGAAGAGATCCTCTTGCCATTTGTGGACGAACTTGGGCACACAAATAGATACTTCTTTCTGTTTTTCACGTGGAGTTTATCTTTGTAGAAATCTCTGTCAAAGGTAACTGTTTTTTTGTGACCCCTCACATGCTCAAATAGGCAGGTGTACGTGACTGATAGGCCAAGGAAGCAATCGATGAGAAGTACGTAAATAGGTCTTGGCATGATATATGTTTTTTGCGGTGGGTCGGGGTGTGGAGTTCTCGTTTCAACTTGTTTGCCTTTTTTTTCGCTTCCGTCTGTTGAGGTTGCCTCCTTTCTTTCGCCCTGCTCTTTCGGCTAGCCCTTTCCACCTGCCTGTTCACTTCGCTTCCCTCTTTGGTTTGTTTATTTGGCTTGTTTTGGGTGAGGGGGAAGCCATGCGGATGTGAATGTGAACATGGTAGAAGTTGGTTATGTGTTTCGCTGCGCTTCGTCCGCTTCGTCGGCTTCTTCCACCTGTTCCGCTTCGTCCGCTTTGTCGCCTTCTTCCACCTGCTCCTCCTCACTTTTCGTTATGTCGTTCTGCACAAAAACACCCCAGCGCAAATACAAGGGTAAGAATATGCACGTTTGCAATCACTTGTATGCGCTTACGGTTCTGTGTCATTCCTTTGAAAATCATGTGGCTGGCGCGCCCTCTTTCTCCCTCTCCCTTGTTAAGAGTGTCGAAAAATGTCACCCAAGGGGGGGAAAGCTTTGGTATATTATAAATAAAAAAATGTTTAAAAAAAAAAAAAAATGAGAAAAAAAAAGTAACGTATAGCAGTAATTTGCCTATTTTTTCCCCCAAATGACGCGCAAAATGAGAATGCGTTTACAGTGTTGCAGTGGCCAAACCAGACGTGAATTATTTTAAAGAAAGCCACACTGGGAGTGCCTCTCCTTAAGCGCACACGAACGAATCTGTTTATGTTGAAATGTATATTTTTTTACGCATCCGATTTGCAAATATTAATAATAATGCGGGAATGATATGCACACAACGTGGCTTATATCCATGCGTTATAAAATCCCGACGCACGTACAACTCCATTCGCCGAGAATAAAAAAAAAAAAAAAGGGGGGGGAAAAAATAAAAGGTTATTCCCCAATGAGGTTAGCACTTTTAGATCGTTTAAGAGGAACGTAAGGGTGATCTCTGCGTTCACGTATTTAAACGCATGTCCCCAGGCTGTCCCAACATTTACAGAAAAGTAAAAAAAGGTCGTAAAAAAAATGTTTTAAAAAAAACGTTGCAAAATAAATGTTGCAGAAAAATGCCTTCCCTTTTGAAAGTATCCTTTTTTGTTTATTTTACGTTAAAGTGTGTACAAGTTGGCTAACTCGACCATAGTATATTCACACTGAGGGAGCACTCCCCATTTCGGTTGTACCAGTGGGAGCGCGATTCAATTCGTGGGCCGTGGAAATGCACACGCGTGGTTAAGCGTGCACCCGTCCATGCGAAGGCATAGGTACGGCCGTGATTGCTCCAGGGCCGAAGCAGACAAAAAAAAAAAAAAAAGGTGGAGCGAGCGATCAGAAGGACAAAAATGTCAATAAGAAAATATAACATGGTGCTACACACCGGCGTACACATAACTCTCCATTCCTGATGGCACCCCAATTCAGTGCCCCTTTTTGTCCTCCTTGTTAAAACTTTTTAATACAATTTTATAGTTACCTGAAACGACGTCACTTTTAACCATGTCACTTTTGTGATCCCTATTGCCCTTGGATTTTCTGGACTTGTTTTTCTTCTTCGCCACGGTCGTAGAACGAATAGTTGAGGAGTTCTTTTCAGCTTCCTGTGCTTTTAATTTTTTAAAATTTATTAAATTATCGGAATATTTTAATTTCCATTTCAGCAATTTCTCCGAATCTTTTATCGCAAGGGTACTTAAACTTAGTAAGGAAGAGCCCAAATTATTATTGTACGAGTTTGCTGAGCCTTCATCAGAGTTATAATCATACGTTGCCCATTTGAATGCATTTTGTGTTAAAGATTCATGAGGGTTCCCTCTTAGTATACGTTTTGCAATGCGTTTAAGACACCTTTTACTTTTTCGTAATCCTGTGTTGTAATTATCATCTGATGTGTTGATACTCGACCCTAGAATGTCTTTCAGGGTAACTTTATCATACTTCCAATATTGCTCTATGGTTACATTTCCTAAGGGCTGGAAATTCATGTACCATTTTTTTTTCCCTTTATAATAATAATTACTTAATAAGCTTTTTCGATTTTCAATTTTTCCTAAATCTACGTTTAAGTTCTTTACACGTAGTCTTCTAAAAATACGGCCCCTGAATTTCACCAATTTTTTTTTCATGTCGAAGCGGTAGTCCAGTCCGCTTATATTCCGCTCTTGCGGGTAAACACATGGACAGTAATTTTTGAAACTCATTTTTGTTAAGCTTTTTCTGTGCGCTCAGGGGGGAACGAACTACAATAAAATCTCAGATAATTAAAGGCTGATCAATGAGGCATATTCTACCCGATTTACAGCGTCTTCTTAAAGGGGTAAGCGTTTAACTATCGTCTGTTCGAATGGTACAACTGAAGAGGAGTCCATAGGGTATGTGTGGGGGGAATAACTGCATATGTATGTATACAACTGTGAGTACCTTTGTAGACGCCTTCAGATAGGCAATTTTGAACAGCGCAATATGTACCCTTCTCTGATAGCACCACAGGGCCGATGAAACTGTTTCGATTCGTCTTTTTAATCAAATGTGGGCTATGCACTTTGTGGAGGGGTGTATAAAAATGATTTACTTCTCCAGACGTTTTTTTCTTCCGTTCGTCTGAAGTGGCAAATGAGCCATTTACATGCTTTTGTAAGGTGGGCTCCTTTGGAGGGGGAAGAAGGATATTTCACGTGGTTCAATAAATGGGCCTATATACCAATGTATGCGATAAGGCATAAAATAGTGGCTTCACTTTTTCTGCTGGTCCTTTTTGGGTACGTTATTCACCGCGACGAATTTCTAGCCTTTTGCTGTGTGGCCCAATTTGGCTTCCCCCCCCGTGATCAAGCCAGGCAGAGGGGTCAATTAACTCACAAACGACTGAGCACGTTTGTTGTATGTGAGCAAACGGATCGGCTGTTTAAATGGGTTAGGGAGAAAACCCCGGGTGCGTCGAAATTGGGATGGAGTTGAATTGTGCCGTGCTGTCAATGGTTCTGATCGATTTGGCATGGTATGGTATGTTTCTCTTTTTTTTTTTCTTTCTTTTTGCACTTAACCCACATTTATTGTATGCTGTCATTTAAGGACAGTACTCTTCTCATACTTCGCTCCTTTCTTTTGCTTTCCCCTTCTGGAACAGGTTAATCGGCGCGAAATTGGGAGATAAGCAACGATTACATGCGGCTAATTAATCATGTATATTTTGACGTATGCGCGTGCACTGTTGCACATTTTGATGCACTTAAAAATGAGAAGAGTGCTCTTTTGCTTTTATATTTTACTTTGCTAATTCATTTTTTTTTTTTTTTTTTTTCTGCCCAGAACTGCAAAATTGCGAAGAACGAATTGTTGGAGTTTCTTCATCAGAGAGGTGAGGAAAAAATGCAATTCAGTTGACGCGTGAATAGCAGTAGAGGGTTGACCTGCGCGTTTGTTTGAGAGTATGTTAGGTTCATCCCTTGGCTTGTCCGTTTGATTGCCAGTTCACTGCGTCTTGGTTTGTACCCTTTTAGATATGTTGGCAGGCTACATAACTACGCAGAGAAGTGGTGGCGTATACATATCCATGTGCATATTTGCGTGAGCCGATTAAGGAGGCACACTGCATTCCCCGCGTTAAGGTGAAGAGCCTGGCCTGTGTACATGAGCATGTGGAAGGTTTTCCCTGTGTGCGTGTGTTAAAGTGTACACATAGTAATATACATACACATAAATATATGTACGTATGCATTTCTGGGGGTAGGGGGCTACAACTCCGGAGAAGCTGTGCATACACGTCGCCCGTGCAACCCACTGGATAGAAGCAAAATAGCTGATAACGAGTTTACCATTCTGACCACCCGCAATACTTCGAATTAGCTGTGAGGAAGAGCAAACGGACCAATTTCGACAGACGTATTTTTAAATGAAAATATATTATGTACGGTGAACTATTTTCCCCCCTTTTTTTTTTTTTTTTTCCTATATGAGCCAAATTGTTTAACCCATACAGAACTGCCCATCGTAAGGCAGATTCTTTAATGCTTTAACCAAAACGTGAGAAAAAAAACTAGAAAAAAAAGGAGAACAAATTATGGTACCTTTTATTCACATACTTTAACGAAATGGTGAAAGGAACCAAAATAACTTTATACCTGCTGCTGCTGCTGAGCTATACGTACGTACAAGCAGCGTACTTTTACGTGAAGGAAGGGGTCGATAAATGCTTCGTAGAGAGCGTCGCAAGCAATGTTGTCATAACGTCGTCCTATGATAATTTTGGATTAAAAGGCAAGGATGCTTTTGCACACAAGTGGAGATAGAAATTGCAGAAAGGGTGGGGTGGGGTTAAATGACTGTGTGTAGACTTCCCTCCCTCTGCGCAAGCTTCATTTGGAAAAGGAGCGCACCGAACATTTGGGTATTTTCCCATTTGGATATGTTCCCATTTGTGCAAGCATCAACTCGTTTAAAAGGGTACTTCTCTGCACCCTCCTTTCCCCATTAAACACCGTCCATTCGTATCGAAGCGCTAGGTTTAAAAAACAAATGCCTGCCTTTTTTTTTTTTATTACAGAACTAAAATGCCTTATCAGTATAAAGAACCAGCAGGGAAAAGTTGTGTATTCCCATGAGACGTCTAAAATTAGTAAAGGTAAAGTAAATTCCCCCCGTTTCTACATTATATTGGCATATAGATCATGACAAATAAATGTTGCGCAGATGTGCCCATGCAGACTAGACACATGACTTCACCTTACGGATAAAAACCCGCAGGCAAGGTATCGTACTTGACGAAAAAAAATGGGCTGTATTATATTTGCATCTCTTGCCCGTCTTCCAACTGGTTTAAAAGCGCGGCCATCAAATGGAGCCTATCCATAGAGGTTGGAGGGTCAGATATGGATATCGAAAATGTGGCAAAGAAATCCGAGTTGAGTGATACATTAGCTATTTTGCTGAATCTGAAAAAGAAATTCACCTCCATGAAGTTGCAGCAGATGTATCAAAAGCAAATGGTAAGGAAGGGGAGTCAGTTCGCAGCCACCTCATTCGCCGTTCGCGTCTCATAGTAGCGGCCTTCATTGCGCAAGTACGTATGTACACACGTGCATACCTATATCCTCGTGACCCCCCCTTGTAGGCGACGAATTTGTACGAACACAACAAATCGGTACACAACAAGATGTTCTACTGCTATATAGTCGAAATTATAATACTCGTGGCTATTACCGTTTACTCGATTGTGCATTTAAAAGATTACTTTAAGGCCCAAAAATTGATGTAACGAGAGAGTTCGGCACGCCGTCCAATGTGCAGTGGACTTTTTCCGCGCTCGCCAATTTTTTGCCAATGCCCTTTTTGGTGGGAAAAATTGACGCGTATTTTTACACGCACGTTTTTCTGTGAAATTTTTTCTCACTTGTGGAGCATTTTTGGTGTTTTCAATTTGCAACGCGAATGCCCCTTTTTCCATTTGGCCACTACACTTGCGGCAAATTCCGAAGCTACATAAAAACGTTAAAAAAATAATGTAAAATTGTTTGTATTAAAAAAGAAAAAAAAAGCTTGCGCACATAAACGTAGGTGTGTGCCGATTTAACAATTTTTAAAAAGGAGGAAGTCTTCCATAAAGACAACTAGGGTAAATGCGGGGCGAAGGAAAAGGCCCCTTGCAGTATCTTTAAAATGTGTGCGCTTTTAAATAGGCGAAGCGCAAAATGTGAAGCGTGCAATGTGAAGCGCGAAATGTCAAAAGCAAAATACCAGGGGTTGTCATAATGGATATTTCCAGAAAAAAAGGGGAGAAAAGCGCAAAATGAAATAAAGTTGAAGGGGCTCAACACTTGTACACAATTTTGTCCTTCTTCACGTAGTAAATTGGCGCCCCGTCCATTTCGTTCAGCGAGTTGATAATTTTGCGCAATGTGCTGATGTCCAGTTTTGCCAGTTGCGGCATTTTGTGCTTGTTCCCAAGGATTATCTGCAAAACGGGGGAAGCGGGCAGGGGAAATATGTCCAGTGTGTACATAAGTGTGTCCATAAGTGCCTGCATAAGTGTGTGCATATTGTTTCGAAAATGCGCCACTAGTCGACGGAGACGCATGGCGCGTACCAAATCCAACAGCTCCTCGTCCCGCAGGCCATCTCCGGGGTCATTCAAAGTGACGTTTTCCACGATGAGGCGTTCTATTTCTTTAACATCCAAGGGTGTTGACTTATCGCTTGCCTTCTGCGCATCGTCTATCATAAAACTTTCTGCATCGTCATCTTGGGCTGCACCTTTTCTCTTTTTCTTTTTATTTGCGGTTTCATTCTTTTGTCCCTTTCTCTTTTTTGTTGCCTTTTTTTTAGTCGATTTGTTGCCTTTCTTGAAAAGTTTACTAACGTCCTCATCATCGTCGTCTTCCTCTTCTTCCTCCTCGTCGTCATCATAAGCTTCGCCTTGTTCTCCAAATGTTTCTTCCTCTTCGTCATCGACATCGTCCTCCTCTTCCTCCTCAAGATCGTTAATTTCCTCCCCAAATAGGGTGTACATTAGAAGCTTCTTAGCATAATTGACATCCACACTTGTGACATATCTGTTGAGTTTCAATTTAGCATGTGATGAGGCGATTCGAATGATGGCTTCCAACGTTCTGGGAGTAACCCCCTGGATAATTTTGTTGTGTGAATATTTTGCTGCCTTTTCTCTCAAATCTGCATACAACTCGGTGATAACTTCGCATGCCTCGTCACTGACTTCTGGGTATGGTTTCCATCCATCAGTTCTCTGCTTTTCATGATAAAAGATATTTTTCACATAATGCAAATATTTTTTAAAAAATGGGACCGTTAAAATTTCATGCTCAATTCCATTTTTATCATAATAGATCATTTCATCTCTGTTGGCAAAGATTGGCGTTTCGTATTCTTCATTTTCTTGATTGTTATCATTATTTTTATTTACTTCTCTTTCGTTGTACACACTAATGTGTTGTGCCTTCGGGTTAATATCGTAGCTATCCGCTTGAATGACAAAATTTTTATGATTATTTCTGTTTTCGCTCATAATTGGTTTTGCCTTTTCTGTAACATTTCGCAAAACCGAATCTGCAATTCGTTCATCGTCTTTCTCAGTTGCACTGTCTCTTACTAGAAAGATGAGGTCAAAACGAGACAGTAGGGATGGCTCAAATTGTAGCTGCTGGCCCATATCGAGTGTATCATTCCAGCATCCATACAAGGGATTGGCAGCTGCTAATACTGTACACCTTGCATTCAGCGTGGTATGAATGCCTGCCTTCGCAACGGTGACAGTTTGTTGTTCCATAACTTCATGAATTGCTACTCTATCTGTGTGTTGCATTTTATCAAATTCGTCAATGCATACAACTCTTCTGTCCCCCATGACCATAGCACCTCCTTCGACAACTCTTTCGCCGGTATCCTGATCCGTAACGATAGCAGCTGTTAATCCGACTCCTGATGATCCCCTTCCTGTGGCTGAAACTGTTCCTGGCATGATACTCATGACGTAGCGTAAGAGCTGCGATTTTCCACAACTTGGATCGCCCACGAGCATAATGTGTATGTCTCCTCTGATGTGATGAGATGGCAATGCGCGCTCTGTCCCACCTGCTAACATTAAAACAATTCCTTTTTTTACAATGTCTTGACCACATATGGATGGGGCGAATGAGTAGCCGAGTACATCTATTGTATTTTCCTTCTTAGCAAAAGCGTGGAAATTTTTTTTATCCGCTTCTGATATGAATAAATTGGTATCATACGTTTCTTTATTTTTGACCAGCACATTGTTTGCAATTAGAAAGGATCTTCCTAACCCACTGTTGGTGCTGTTGGCTTGTCCACAGCTAGCTCGATAGACCCCCCAAACTCTTACTCTATCTCCACACTTGACAATATCACATAGGTCGTCTTCCACGATTACTTCTACCCATCTGGGCATCTGTCCTGTTGGAGCATCTTCCGGAGTTTCTTGGATGACAAATTTCTGGTGATTTTTATATTTGCACAATCCTATTTCGTGTCTATGCATAATTTTCCCCTCAGGATCTGAAACAGGTGGTCTTCCTGAATCTTTGGCTGTTTTATCAAAATCGGTAATGTCATAATGGGGTCTCAAATGGACTGTTTTTTCGTCGCTCCGAATATCTGCATTGATGTCATGTACTGCTTCTCCTATGTACACTGACTGGACCAGTTTCGGTTGGACGGTAGAACATTTATTAACCACACCTTCTACTGCCACTAGCTTGTTAATCATGGAGCTTTGCAATCCTCTTGGCGTCACATGGTGTCTACCTAGCCAACCGCAAATGCCAATTTTGGGGGCATCAATATCTATTTTGCTATCGTGCGATTTCCACAACTCTTTGATAGCTGCCTGGTACGCTGGAAGAGCCAAATAAGGTTCCTTTATTAAACACTTGGCAAGTAATTCAAATTCTTCATTGCCCGTTTGAAAGTTGTTGATGTTGCAAATTAATCGTTGGTGGATGATTATGTTGGGGATGTTTTTATTTTGCATCCTGTTATATTCGTCCGTTGCTTCTGCTCTCAGTTCATTTATCTTTTGATGGATGTATTTATTTGTCTGAACAAATAGTAAGAATCCATCAAGAAGCTGCTTATACTTCTGCTGTGTGAAAACTACACTTTGTCTACCCGATTCGTACTCACTTATGATATTTTCATTTAACTTTTGTAATCTTCTTTCCTTGTCGTCTTTTTCAATTCGCATCGAGCTGTCCAGAATTGACGAGTGGTTTATGGACGAGTCCATCAGCGTGTAGTTCAGTTCCGAGTTGATCGTTTGATACTCCGACCTTGCCATCGGCGTACTGTCATTTTCTAGGCTCATTCGATCCATGGTTTGTCAAAAGGGGAAACTGATTCAACAGAGGTGCGTGGGGGTGTAATATCCCAGGAGGTGTAATGTCCCAGGGTGGGTGATTTCCCAGGGTGAATGATTTCCCAGGGTGAGTAACGTCCCCGGGGGGGTGCACGTGTACGTAGTGAGTGGAAAATATATAATTATGCGTGCATTCGCGTGGACACGAGTTTCTGCTGAGTGACGCCCACAGGATGCTTCTCTCTCGAAGGTGATTCCTCGTGACTCCGTTTAGGTCTTTACGCAAAAGTGGTTTGCAAATGCGTAAGTAAGGAAGAAGCAAAAGGAGTGAAGAAAAAAATGAACATTTTTCTTGGCACCTAAAGTTGCTATGTACACACGTATAAGTGCATTTATATGTACATTCAGCGCGTTTTACTAATGCTTAGCAAATGGGGAGAAAATTGCCGCAATAAAATAAACCAGTGTAAGTGAAATGGAGAATTGTGACGATTGCTTAGAAATTAACACAACGTATATCACATTTTACACGCCGCGCTTTTGTACATTTGTTGTTGCAAATGTCGAAGCACGCTCGATGTGTATGTAAATTTTTTTTTGCGTTCATCACAGCTTAATGTGCCATTTTGCGGAAAAAAAAAAAAAAAAAAAAGAAAGAAAGAAAAGGAGAAAGTGATCAAAGAAGGGCGATGTAAGCTATGCAATGGAACTTACACAATGGAAGTTACCAGTGGAAACTACGCGAAACGAAATAAAAAATAAGCCATTTTGCGAATTCAAAAAGGAATGTCTTAAAAAAAAAATTAATTCGCGAAGAAAGGAAGTTCAAAAGGTACAGCTTGTCTTGCTTGACCGCATTACGAGGGGAGATGTATATCTGTGTATGCATAAGCGTGCATACGTATAGGTATGTGTACAAATGTCCATTCCGCATGTGCGTGCTTTCTCAAAATTATTTTTATTCACATGATGGAAGGAGAGAAGAGTTTCTCTTAAGAGGAATGTATTTGCACAATCTGATGGGGTGATACGAATTTTAAACGTTCAAATTTGCCTGAGTGGTTAGAAGGTTACGCGAAATTTTTCCTCCAACTAGTAATCTCGTTACGCACAATTGCTTCGCGATTACACTAAAGAGCGAGAAAGAAGGCTCAGTTGGTTAATTTTTTCTGTTACCCTTTTAATTGCATCTTTTTTTTTCTCTCTCATTTTTTAAAAAGCACTTCTAATTTTACATGGGAGGAACTGCTCTGCAGGAGTGCTCCTCTCTTGAAGTAGCACCCCAAAATTGTCATGTCCCTGGTACGTTGCATTCGAGCGATATGGGTGGGTAACAATCACGAGGAAGAGATTCCGCCGAAATGCGAAACGAGAGTCGCCTCCTAAAACGGGTTATACATATCCCCCTCTCATTTTTAAGCACATTAGAAATTAAAAAAAAAAAATTAAGTTTTCAAAGTTCATAGTGTACATAAGGGGGGGGGGAAGGCAAAAGGAAAGATTTTAAGTTAACGTATGGGGTTTTGTAGGGATAGGGGGAATGCAAAAGGTCTCTATATATTCATACATATTATACACATAATAGGTAGCTAACTCAGATGTGCGTAGCTACACACGGGCGCAAATGTGTACCGCGTTGTGCTTGGGGGAAAATTAAAAACAAAATAAACTCTTGATAAGTCTTTTTTTTTTTTTTTTTACTTTTTCTTCTCCGCAATTACAAAGAAGTATGGTTTGCGTACATTTTGTTCCACTCTCTTGCCACATTTTCTGCGTCACTTTTGTCCTGTTTAAAATGATCAGCTACCTTTGCGTCTAACGGATCATCGGGTTCGGGGGAAGACAGCAGGGCCTGGATGCTCAGCAGTACTGTTCGTATTTGCAGTGCAGGGCTCCACTTATCTTTTAGTATGTCGAGACATATTCGACCCAATTTATCCTGTCAAGGGAAGTACACAAGTAGTTATAAGGAGCATACAAACTTAGACTGTGTAGTGAAAGTAATAGAATGTGTATGATTAGCATAACACTGT